ATTGTGTTGGTTGTTTGTAGAGGGTAACTGGCAATCAGCAGATCTACACCATGAGATATAAGCCATTAAATTACTGGTATTGACTGGCGAGGTGATTGATATTGATTAGGTATGCAAGGCTAAAACCATGCATCTGGAATTTTTATGTTGCTAAGAAAGCTGTACTGTGTCTATGTTAGATGTGTACCTACACAATTAGTGGAAAACTGTATTACAAGATTCTGATGAAGGTTAGAGAAGTCGTTCCACAGGCCTCATGGTTTTTAATTAATCTTGTGCATTTTACGGGCTTCAAATACTTGTTGATATTTCTGAAAGAGTTCTTGAATATTCTTTCTCAAAGTCGGCCTTAAAAGCAAAAACATTTGAAGTGTTTTAAGTCGTTTGATGGAACAGATATGCTTCCTTTTAGTCAGTGTTTCAGTCACATTGGCTGCACTAGACGACCAAAAGAAGACCTGTTGCCACTTTTTCCATAACTTGAGTGTGTGAGATCCAGTCAAATCACACGCTCCCACTTTCTATAGCATTCTAAACTACTAAATATTTAGAAAAATAACTTTGCTGAGATGTTATGCTCTTGTTGGTGTGGTTGTAAGGAGAGCAGCTCCTGCACTGTAATGATGTTGTGTGGAAGAGTCTTCTCTGATACAGTGGTAAAAACTATTGATTGTGTTTATGTGTAGATTAAACAGATATGCTATTTGTGCTGTAATGTTTTAAATCTGGTGTAAAACTGATTAATTAGAAAAGAAAAGATGAAAAAAGAGCTGATATTTCTGCCTAAAGCAGTTACAGTTGGAGCTGAGATAGAGGCAGTGTGGTTTGGACATGTGGTGGTTCATGGATAAAGATCTGTGTACTTACATTTTTTTGATATGAGCTTTTTTTGTTTCTTTTTTTTTCTTATCATCTGCTAATCATCTGATAATTTGAAGCTCCTTCATGTGAGTTTTATTATTTCAAAAAGAAACTGTTCTACCTAAAGGCCTTTGCTGATGAATTTTACTTTTGGCAACAATTTGTAGCTTTAAAAAAGATGAAGCTTCTGTGTACTAAAAAGAGAACCGAGTAATAGCATTGTGAACAAGTACGGAAGTATTCAGATTACTTGGGCCAGCCACTACATTTAGGTTTAAAAAAATTAAAAATGAGAATTATTTTCCATTCTGGAGAGTACTCCAACACTGAGTCTTTCTAGTACTGGGATATCCATCTCTCTTCATGGACGGCTGGAGTCCAACACAGTTTGGTCATTTCCCTGCCCAAACACACCTGATTCAACTCATAAGTTTCTTACTAGGTTTAGTGGGTGTGTTTGAACAGGGAAATCACCACACTTTGCTGGTGTCCAGTCCTGTAGGACCAGAAATGGACGCCTTCATTCTAGCAGGTTCTTTGCATGCAAAATCCTGCAGGGAGAGACAGTCTGGCTGCATTTGTTGAAACAGTAACACATTTGAATATACTATAGTAGTAGTAGTAGTAGTAAGAATGTTATGCTAATTTGATTGCTAGTTTTGTTTGTGTTGTCTTTGTTTTTCTGTTATGGGACAGGTGTGGACACAGCTTACTGTCAAAACTAAATATTCCCTGCAGAAATGCGTCCCTTCATATGCACTTGCCCTTTACCCTGGGTATTGAATTGTGCGCAGCTGTCCTTGCTGAACTGTACAATAACTGTTTTTATCCTCATGACCTCCTAACATGGAACAAGCGGCCGAACCACTTCTTTTTTTTTTTGCTCTGTGACTGATGATAGCAGAGCATTGCTGATTAGTGCAACAGTGAAACAGTGCAGTAGTAATCATAGCTGGGTGCTCCTTTGTAAGACTACAGACAAATTGCAGGTGTTAAAAAGCCTGCATGAACACAGTGTCCAGGCAAAAACTGTTCTGCTCTGTCATGCTAACTAAAACTTAGTGGTCCATCAAGTTTATTTATGTTTTTGAAGAAAAGTATTAAACATAAAAGCTAATAAATAATAAAGAAATTAATGAAGAAAAAACATATATTTATTGATAATGATCCTTATGCTGAAAAATCTGAAAAAAAGTTTCTGTAAAGTATTACACTATGTAGGCCACAGAATGTGCTACAAAATCAAATGTCCTTGACAGCAGAGAGCAGTTGTTCATCCTCAGTTTTTTGGAAGTTACACTTTGCACTTTGGCACCCTTGTCTGTGAATATTTTTTTTTGTCTTTCCAGAACGGTAGTTACAGATTTACCACTTTCCTTTTCCTGTTTTTATTGTTTTGCTGTATTTTTCCCTTCACTTTGGATGTGTTGTTTTCAAGTTGAATCAAACCTGTAGGGGAGAAGTTCTTGAGTATCATAGCCTCTCTTGATACTTAACATGATACATTTTTTGTATAATATCCATTGTAGAAACATGAAAGTTCCACATGGCTGTCTTTTTTTTGTTCTTAAACTTGTCTGTGTTGACCGCTGCAGGGGCACGGAACAAAAGCAGTGTTTTTAATCACTGTTTCTCATTTTCATTATCATTTAAATGATTGGTTATGTTTTAGTTTTTGATATTTTGACATTTTGTTACATTTTATTGTAAATATTTTTTTTTTCCAGTCCAAATATTTTGGCTGTTTTTCTCTTTTGGCCAAAAATTGAAAGTGCTACTTTTGAACATTTTTTGTCTAAAATGTTTAATGGCTGAAATTTTGGTGCATCCTTACTAAAAAAAACAAAAAAACAAACTGCCGCCAAGTAGCTGACTCTTAGATGGATTACGTAAAGTTCTGAGCTGTAATCACTGTTTTCAGTTTAACCTTCTGAAGACTGACAAAATACTGTCTACACCATTTAAAATGTACGCCTGACGCACACCCTCTTTTATCAAACTCTAAGCTCTTATTTAGCACTTAGGAAGCTGTTGTTGATGTGGACACCTTGGGGCTTCAATAAACTTTAATAATGCTTTGTAGATGTTTTGGTCTTTAAAAGAGAGGACCTATTTGACTTTTCACAGCATGTCTAAAGGCAGGTGAAGACGAGTAGACTGTTAAACTCCCATATTGCTGCGTTCTTCTTTGGGCATTGGTCTGTGCCATGAGAGGAAAAGAGTTTGAGTTTTACCTCCCCTCACTTGCTGTGTGTTTGTGCTTGGGGATGATGGGCAGGATTAATAAAGAGTCTGTTTGTGTCTGTGTTTGTATGAACAGTGCAGTTGGCTCTTAGCAATAAACCGGTGAGGAGTCTCTGGTCATAGAGATGGAGAAATGTGAGCTGCTATGGTCTGCAGTTCTCTTTGTTTTCTCTGGAGCTGAGCTTCACTGCTTTTGTTATGAAAGCTCAGTAGTTCAAGCTTAGTCTCAATCATCCCCTCCCCCAATATCTCACCATCTCCGCCTCTCTACTGAGCCATAGTTTTAATAGGAACCAAATGTCTGGTACCATGCTGTTTAGTTTTAAAATATCCAAGGATTGCAGGAGCATTAGTCATTTTTGTAGTCTTATTTGATTAAATCTCAAAATTTGAATTTAAGTGCAACATGATATATTCTTAACTGTTGCACATCACATGCGAACATCTGTTGACAGTTCATTGTGAAGAAAATGGTGGAACTAAAGCCATAACTAAACAAGCCTACATCCTACATAAACAGGCCAACAAATCAGCAGTGTAGGAGATGTCTTCTTTCACAGGGAGTCAGTTGATTCTTCTGACAAGAAAACATCTCACTCAAAAATGTTTTTCATGTGTGCTTCTGTTGCCTCTAAGGGAAAGGTCACGATATTCTTTCTGACTACTACATATTTATTAGTGTGACTCAAGACATTGTGGTCATACCATCTCTGTTTCAGACATGTAGTGCGACTGAAGGTTGTTCTCTGAATGAAAAGCTTGGAGGGCTTCAGTCAGTCTTTGTTGTCTTGAGGATGCCATTTATTCTAAACACGTTAGCATAGCTGTTATGTTTACTTAGTGTTAATATACAACATAAGTGGTCAGAGTATGACGACAATAGATGTGTTTTGAATTCAGTATGCCTAAAAGATAAGGTTTTAGCTTAGGTTTTGGGTGCTATTATACACCTAGGCCTATGTGAGTGGTTCATATTGCAGTAACTAGGAGCACAATATGAATGTACCTTAACATAGGCCTGTGCCCAGTAACCAGTTAACTAAGTTTTTGCAGTAGCATTTTGCAGTGGCTGCACTGGTTTTAAAAATAAAGTTGTTTCTTTATTGATTTCATACAAACCGTAGCAGCAGACAAGTCCTCCTGTGCGTCAACTTATCACATTTGATCACATATTACCATATTTATTATACCACATTTTTTTGTACCTAACATAGAAACGTAACTGTTGAGCTGCATACAAAAACTCAGAAGACACATATAGGTTCAGTGGTGGTTTTGGATAGCAAATAAATGTTCCTATCACCATCGCTGTAAAGAAATCTGAGTTGCTAAGTTTCTCTACAATGAACCATTTCACACCATAACACTCTGGATGACTTTGATTTAATTATGTGAAATTTTTCAAAATTGGTGGAATTCCCCTATAAGTATCAACTCGCACACAGTCTCTGTTTGCTCTTGCGTTCACTTGTTTTAGGAAATGTTGTTGCTGATGTTGCTGTTGTTGTTATTGTTATTATAACAATAGTTGTAGGAGGAGGAGAAGGAGTATTGTTATCATTGGTATTAGTATTAGTATTTTTAGAATTGCTAAGTGGAAAAAAAAATCATAAAGCAAAGAAAAAGAATGCCACTACCCTTCATACTGCATTTAACTGTTTACTGTGATTATTTTGCCTACATTTACCCAGACAGGAGAATTGTAACATGATATGAATCTTACATTACTTGTTATTGTTTTTTTATGGTTTTAGCACATCTTAAATGATATATCTCTGCCTTATAGCACCTAAATAATTCAGCCTGAATTATTGTTTTGTCATGCATTTTTTCCTTGGGCAATGGCATCATCTCAGAATAATTTTCTTCCTCTGTCTCCTTTATGGGCCAAACAGCAAATGGTGATGAGCCTGCGTGTCTCGGAGCTACAAGTACTCCTGGGATACGCAGGGCGTAACAAGCACGGGAGAAAGCATGAACTCTTGACCAAAGCACTCCACTTGTTGAAGGCTGGCTGCAGCCCTGCCGTGCAGATGAAGATCAAGGAGCTCTACCGCCGCCGCTTCCCCACAAAGATGGTGTCTCCGACAGACCTCTCCCTTCCGGGGGTCCACTCCACGACTGGCGGAGGTCATGGAGGCTTGACTGCCAGCCTCACCCCGCTTGGGTTTGACAGCCACAGCACTCCTTCGCCTCTGCTGCCTGTCTCTCTTCTGAGCCCTAAGCATGAGCTGGGCCTTCCACACCTACCTTCTGCCCTGCACCCTGTCCACCCAGATGTCAAGCTTCAGAGGCTGCCTTTCTATGACGTTCTGGATGAGTTGATCAAGCCCACCAGCCTGGGTGAGTGATGTTCTGTCTGTTGGCCCAGATCCCTCTCCTCACTCAGTGACATTTACATCAAGGTGCTCTTCAAGTGATATACGACTTATCAGATTGGACCAGGTCATTGAGGCTATATATAGCCATGGTGCTAAATATAAAGGGGTAATAAGAATGAACAGGATGTGCTATGTCCTCTCATACACAAAGTTCTCTTTTTGGCAGAATTGGGCAAAAACTCAAACAAAATATGTCTTGTTACAAAAAATTCACAAAATACTAATGATAAAAAATGTGGTTATTTAAATTGTATTACAATTTTGGGTTGATTAAAGCTGCCACAGTCTTCACCTCTACCAGCAGAAATAAGATGGATGTGGCCACAACCACTAACATAAATGAAACTCGATTAATACTGCTTTGAAAGCATGTTACTTATTAATCGTGCGACAAAGGTTATGTTAGTCACATTGCATGCAGAATTGTAGATTGAACATTAGTGCTGGGTAATATGACTATGTTTATCGTTATTGTACTAAATTACATCACAATACATCACAGTATGCTTTTATAGGCGAATAGGAAGGCCAACCTCAGTCATATTTATTTTACTGATGAAAACTATTTTTTTCTGGAGAAATGTGTTTTGCTGTAAACTGGCTGTGTGAACGTGTAGAGCTGTAATTAACTTGGTTTATTGTCAAAGCTTTGAGGATTCGTTTCTGTTAGCACATTAGCTTCCGTGCACTAATCTTAGCTTATACTGCACTAGCTTCCTGACCTACGGCTTTGGCTGTGGCTGAAAATAAAAATAAGACGCAGAACTACAAAAGTGATCGCATGTCATTCCATTTTTATTGCCTATTTCAACAGATTCTGAGCTTCTGAAGGAGCACTGAAGAGAGGGGTGTGTTTGTTTTGCTGTTGAGTTCAAATATCTACAGTCGTTCTCCAAAATTGCTTATTGTGCCTTTAAATGTGGCATCCAGCCCCACCCTCAGTCGGTATCAGCTATAGGCCGATCATGCTGAAAGGTGACGGCAATTGATATCGGCCCCAAAAACACTGATTTTTTCAAATGTAACACTACTACTTTTCCAATTTATCAGAAGAAAAAAATATATATTGTGACATTGTGTAGCGTGAAAACTTCTTGAAGAATCGTAATATTACAGTTTTTCCATATTGCCTACCTCTACCTAACGTTACTGTAAGCATCACAAGCCTTCTAATACTGTAACTGAACCCAAGTGCTGTATGCTTAAATCCTGATAAGCCCATTTAAAGCAATACAATTTTATTTTTAAACCCATAATGTACTTATTTTTCTTAGTTTTACCAACTGAACTTGGTACAACCTGTATTACAGTGCTTGAGAGTAGCAGGGATATATGTGGGTACTCATTACATTTCAGCACAGAAGACGCAGAAAATATACAGGCTAACAATTCAGCACTGTAAAGTGTCATTTTGCTCATATAATATATCAGGCATTGCTACTATGAAACACAAGTTCTTTAAAGTGAGTTCCTTCAGTGCGTTCTGACTAATTTTGAAAATGGAGTGTCTGTAACTGTTAATAAACAGACAATCAGTTAACTGCAGGGAAGGGAAAAAATGGGCTGAAAATATGGCTTTGGCTGAAAGTAATGCAGAACTGTAGGCTTTTTGATGATGGTATGGTTGTTCCACTAACACTTAGCAACACAGAGAGAGAATACATTTGAAAACCTCTTTCATTGTTGAAAAATTGCTGAGGGAGGTTGGTAGGTTTTTATGTGGGATGAGTAAATGTTAACTACTCTAATGTTTATTTAATTCATTTTTATTTCTTTTTTATTATTGTATTGTTTTGTATTTATTTTGCTTTTTCTTTCCCTACAGTCAACCGAATCTTTAGTAACAAGAGCACAACTTTTGGAAGTCTTTAACAGCCAGAATTTTTCTATTGCCTATGTGTTATAATCACTTATGAATGTTCAGCTGTCAGATCTTCAGTTTTTCCCTGTGTAAGAAAGTGTGTGTGCACATTTCAGTAAGCATTTGTTAAAGATGATCGTGCCATGTTTCTGAAAAGCTTTACCAGAACGGAGATAGTTAAGCATTTTTGCTCATAAAGCCCACTTATATTCTTGTCAGATGGTCAGTGCATGCTTGTATCAACCATCTGCTAAGGAACTCAAAAAGCAGTGTAACTTCTTAGGGCATTTGTAACAGTATAGAGCAAGAAGGCTCTTAATATGCAAAGAGGTAGATTGAGCTCTCGTGAGTGAAGATTAGGTTCATACTGTTATAGATTTATAAAAGAAAAAAGATTCATTGGAAGTCGTCATCTCCACCTTTTGTGTCAACAGTAGAGTGAACACACTTCTCTCTCTAGGGTGTGATTAGTCTTTCCTGGGCTGCATGGCACATCCTGTGTGATAAGCTGCGAAGTGATGAGCCTTTCGTTACGATAGCAGCTAGAGCAGCTCTTATCTCTCCCTCACTCCTGAAGCCCTTCCTTACTTTAAGGAGATTGGATTGCGTAACCCAGGGTTATTTTTAGACCTGTTGTAAGGTTCAGCTATGAACATGAGTACATAAACATTTACAGTGGTATTCCACAGAAGAAGCTTGTTCTTGTGAGCTTAGAGAAAAAGTATGTTGATCTAGAAGCATTTGTTGATTGTTCTGATGGATTAGGCTAAGTGTTCAGAATCATTTGTCAATTAAAGGTCTGTTCTTTATTAAATCCAGGGTGCTTTAAATATTCTGCTGCCCCAGCATAAACCAGTAGCCACATTACTGTCACAGTCCATGTATTGATTTTTTTGTTTGTTTCATTGTTTGTTGTTTTAAATGTTTCAAAACGAGGTGTTTGAAAATTAAGAAAGTTGTGTCTGACAAAATGACTTCTCCACATGGACAGTGCAGCATTCTGGCAACAGTTATAATGTGCAGTGCCCCCAGTACATGTCCACAACCATTTAGATTTATCTTTGTCCTCTTTTATCTCTGGTTGCCAACCAACGGTTCAGTTCTCATGGTTTATCTTCCTGTGTCCCCTGCTCTCTATTGTTTTTCAGCCTCAGACAACAATCAGAGGTTTCAGGAAACATGCTTTGCGTTTGCATTGACACCTCAGCAAGTCCAGCAGATCAGCAGCTCCATGTAAGTGCAGGGGAGGAATTGTTGATTAGCATAATTTATTACCATGATCCAAATTATTGGTACAAAACAGATATGCATCATATGAACTGGAAAACTCCTTAATTTAAACCAACTACTGATAATCTGGCATTGTTAGCTTCAACCTGCTTAGTAGTAGTTGTGACTGTTGATCAGTCCTACAAAGAGTTGGTGTCTCAAACATGCCCTTGCTGTCTTTTAGAATGCTTGGTATGCTTCTTCTCACTCTCTCTCTCTTCCCCTCCCCCTGTCTGTTTTCACAGGGACATCTCTGGGACCAAATGTGACTTCTCAGTACAAGTTCAGCTAAGGTATGAAGAAGGAACTGTTCATTCACAGTGGAGCAACAGAATAGAGCCTCAGATAGCAACATTTATTAATGACAGTCAGAAGCTACATAAATTAAACTACAAAAAATAAAGGTTATGAAAAGTATATCATAACTTACGTCAAGAATAGAAAAATAATCTACGTTTAGCAGTCCAGTTAATCTACGAGCACTACGTTTGGAAAACCTAAATATTACTTGTGTAAAGTCTATGCGGACACGAGGGTTTGCACATCATAACAGTTCTTAAATGTTTAGGTTCTTTCAGCATTCCAGTGCTTTTTCTGTTTGGGTTTCTGTGGGCCAGAAAGAATGTTTCCCACACATTCCTTTGGTGGTCCCACATCACCCACAGGTCCTACCTGCCTTTTTTTCCTTTATTTCTTTAAGGTTTTGCCTATCGGAGACGAGTTGTCCTCAGGAAGACCATTTCCCACCCAACCTCTGTGTGAAAGTGAATGGGAAGCCGTGTAACCTCCCTGTGAGTTTAGACTTGTAAAAATTGCTGATCTGAGGGGAAAAAAAAAACAAACTTAAACTTCATTTTCCATTTTGATCCTTTTACTACATTGTAACCTGTATGTTTAATCAAAGGCACCTCTCTAAAGTAGAAGAATGCTTCATTAAGAACACCTTGTATCTATACTCATTGTTCATTTTCTCAGGTTCATTTACCATATAGTTACCCCCCTTTTACCCTGCTTTTCAATGGTCAGGGCCCCCACAGGACCATCCACAGATCAGGCTTTATGTGGGCGGTGGATTCTCAGCACTGCTGTGACACTGGCATGGTGATGGTATGTTAGTTTGTGTTGTGCTGGTACGAGTGGATCAGACACAGCAGTGCTGCTGGGGTTTTTACAAACCTCAGTGTCACTGCTGGACTGAGAATAGCCCACCAATTAAAAATACTCAGCCAGTAGTGTCCTGTGGGCAGCGTCCTGTGTCCACTGAAGAAGTACTAGAGGATGACTGACACAATGTGTACAGCAACAGATGTGCTACTGTTTCTGACTTTACATCTGCAAGGTGTACCAACAAGGTAGGTTCCAGCAAATTCCAGCAGTACTGCTGTTTCTGGTTCACTCACAGCAGCAAAACACATACTAACACACCACCACCAGGTCAGTGTCACTGCAGTGCTGAGAATGATCCACCACCTAAGTAATACCTGCTCTGTGGTGGTCCTGTGGAGTTCCTGACCACTGTAGAACAAGAGTGAAAGGGAGCTAACAAAGTATGACGTTAAACAGATGAACTACAGTCTGTAATTATAGAACTACAAAGTGCTCATATATGGTAAGTGGAGATAATAAAATGAACATTGTGAATAGACACAAGGAGGTGGTCAGTTAATGAAGCAGCTGGTCAGTGCACAACTTCATTTCTTTTGTTATACACTATCCTCAGGGCTATCTTCCTCCGACTAAAAATGGAGTGGAGCCAAAGCGACCAAGCAGACCCATCAACATTACCTCCCTAGTTCGGTTGTCCACAACAGTCCCCAACACTATTGTGGTATCTTGGACGTCAGAAATCGGAAGGGTAAGGAATGAGACACCACTAGTATAAGAGCTGGACACTGGCACATTCCCCTGGCACAGCAGAGGAATTTCAGTAGGTTGACATGTTTCAGTGAATTGATATCTAATGAGCTTTGTTTTTTGTGCTTTGTTTAGAGTTATTCCATGGCTGTGTACCTTGTCCGACAGCAGTCCTCTTCAGTGTTGCTACAGAGACTTCGGTCAAAAGGCATCAGGAACCCTGACCACTCCAGAGCACTCAGTGAGTTCAGTCTTCTATCTTTTTGAATAGATAGTCAAAGGCATCATATTAGTATGTAGCCATCTCAAACACCTAAACTGTCATGCTGCTTTTACACTGCAGCAAAGCAACACACATTGCCATCTGTTGGCCAAATCTCTAAAGTATTCTGATATGATATTTTTGCCATATGGACACACCTACGATGAAACGCAGAACAGCTTCTAACCAGTCACACTTCCAACAGAGGTAGACCCCTCTAATCTTTTTCAGGTCACTTTTTTGTGTGGCGTCAGTCACATGGAAAATATTGTTTTTCAGCCAAGGAAGCTAATCATACTGCATAGATATCCACAATACAATTATTACTCCACTGTGCGTTAACGGTTACCACGGTGGTCTTGTTTTTACCATTAAAAATGCCTTACTTTCTACAGATTTGCATATATTGATTTTTGTCCTTCTTTGAAAAATAAGATGCTCAATTTGTGTTTTATACAGTTGGCTTTTGCCATAAACATGCTTTCTCATGCACATGCACATGGATTAATCATAGAATCTAAACCTGGGTTAACAGAGAAAGTTGTTAACTACCGATGTTAAAAGGAGCTAATCACAGTTGCATTTGAAAGCCAGGTGTACACTGTCCAATTTTAACCTTGATTTGGCCATCCACGACTAAACTTAAGGATCAGGCCAAATTTTAGCTTCATCGGCCGTCCAACGCAATAGAATTTGAGGCGATTAGTGATGCCCGATTAACAGCCCAAACAAGTTTCAGTCACTTCATCGAATGGATTTCTGACATGTCAGAAATGTTGGTTGCTCATCTTACAGTTTTAGCAGTATCACAAACCAGTTTCTCAAAGTTGCATGCAAAGCACACACACAATCACAACCACTGGTTCTACACAGGTGAACACATGAAGGCTAACAAAACGGAGGCAAAAAAGTTGTCGTTTGCTGTAACAAAGTCTGTATATGTTAACTCTGCTCCGTTTCACTGAGTGGAATTGTGAGGTATAACAGTTAATAGTGATATTTTTTTTCTCAGTTTTTTTTTTTTTAATACATGGTACTCTGTTACGCAGCATGTTTTGAATGAAATATCTTGGAAATTGTCCATAGACAGCTGTCCGTAGGGATCCACCCACATCACTGTATGTGAATCAGATTAAGGATTTTATACAGAGTGAGCATATAAATCGTAAGCTTTGGTCATACACAATGGCCAATTCAAACATACTGTTTAAGTTCTCACCAAAGAACAAGATTTCTAAAATCGTATAGTCTGTGCCTGGCTTTAGGATTTGTGAAGCTGAAACTTAAGTCAGGAATCCAGTCCAAGTTGGATGTGCTTTGTGAGACAGGCCCAAGATCTGGTATGCATGTATCACAGAGTCTTGTTTCTCATTCTGTCATAAGACGTGCACGCCATTAACTTTTTCATGCTCTGCCTCAGCTAGTTAACTCGACATACATAAACAGAAGAAATTCTGTATAAGAGTCGAAGGCGTTGGTATGTTCAGTGCAGCTAACACTCAGGCAGTCTTTGTCTGATCTTTCTCAAACTTGACACAGGAGTTCTGTATATGCCACAAATGTGAGCCCTCTCGAGGCCCTTTCATTTCTGTTTGGCTGTACTTATTTTTTATTTTTTTATTTTGACAGTTAAAGAGAAGTTGACGGCTGACCCAGACAGCGAAATCGCCACCACTAGCCTGAGAGTCTCCCTGCTCTGTCCGGTATGCAGTTTTTGCTGCGTTTTATTTATTTTTTATGTCTTTAGTGTGTTATATGTAGACATGATTCTGTCAAGTGGGCTCATTTCAGTCCTAATAATATAATTTAATACAAATGCTTTTGAACAGATACCTGTACCAAAATATAATCTAAACACCTGTTTAGGATTGTGTTCACTGCTGACTGAGATCATTGAGTTTTCCTGTGCCTCATGAGCTACCATAACCTCATTTCCTCCTCATACTCCCTCTGCCCCTCTCGGTGCCTCAGGGCTGAAACAGTCCCACTTTTTGCCAGCAGTGTTTACGTGGCTCATATTTAGCTGGTTGTGCAGTCTCTCTTACAGTATAGACCACCTCTTAAGCATGGGTAAACAGAAATGATAAAGATGATGCTGGCATGCTATGATTCACTTGTTTATGACTGTGTTTATGTAATTGGCAGCTGGGGAAGATGCGGCTGATGATTCCCTGCCGAGCGCTGACCTGCTCGCACCTGCAGTGCTTTGATGCTACGCTCTACATCCAAATGAACGAGAAGAAACCCACCTGGGTGTGTCCAGTCTGTGACAAGAAGGCCCCATACGAGCACCTCATCATTGACGGGTCAGTGCCCCATCACCCCCACCCGTTACTGGGAAGCAGTTCTCTTTCTGAAGCCAAACCTCTTTAGATTTTTTATTTGAGTGTTCTTGGTTTAAACATGTCACTACATATCATCTGGAGGAGGATTTTTCACTTAGAAACTAAGCCAAAGCCTAGTCACTTATAATTATTGGACATTCTTGGCTTTTGACTTAAATTTCCTGGCTCACTGAGAAAATTTTACTTCATGGAATAAAACCTCAAGACACTATGTTTTTGTCTGTTTTAATATTTGGCTCTTGTGTAATATTACAGAAATACACAGTTGGTGTTTACTTCATTTGTTGCCTGAGTTAATGTCTTGTCTTCAAATTGTCTTTACGTCTACAAACAATGTGAGTTAGTAAGAGAAGAAGAATGATGTGGAGATCCTGTGTTTTTTGGGTGCAGGTTGTTCATGGAGATACTGAACAGCTGTGTAGACTGTGATGAGATCCAGTTTAAGGAGGATGGCAGCTGGGCTCCTATGAGATCCAAGAAGGTGGTGCAGGAGGTGTCTGCCTCCTCCAACGGCCTGGAGGGTAAACACAACAACTGCTCATTTTCCTGCCCTCTAGAGGACTCAAGTGTAATAGCTGCTGTGATCAGAACACCATTAGATTTTTTTTTTTTTGTTAGGTTGTCGTAGTGCATATAAGTATCCTAAACCTAAATCACAATTTATCTGAGCCCCAGTGATCAATGTAGCTTTGGCTAATTCCTACTTAAGAAGTCAAGTATTTCTTTGTTTGCTTGGTTTCAGGTTCGTGTCGAGCAGTGGTGTCTGACCACAGAAACAGTTCGTCCAATAGCAGCAGTAGTAACAGTAAAAAAGTAGAAGTGATTGACCTGACACTGGACAGCTCCTCAGATGATGATAACGATGAAGAGCCTCCTCCCAAACGAGCCTGTCCGTCTCTATCGCCTACATCACCCCCTGTCAGCAAAGGGTCAGTCTCCCATTACAGTGCACATTCACTGGCAATGACGAAGTCTTCAAGAAGCCTGAAAAAAATTCAATTTTTACAGTTCACCTGGACGTGAACTGCAAAATTTTAGTTTTAATTTTTCCTCTTTTTCCACAGGAGAGTATCGGTAGACTAAGTGTTGTATTTACGAAGTTTTCTTTTAAGTTTCAGTTTAGTGCAGGGGCCGGTTGCACCAGCTGTGTTTAAGTTCAAATGTTGGCTAGCTGTAATGTGTTTCCTTAGTTTAGGTTTATGCATTACTAAACCAATATGGGTTGCACCACACAAAGTAGTGTTTACACTGAGCTAAGTAGTTACTAAATATTTACACCTACCACTAAATAAAAAAGTATATAAATAAGGAAAACCACATAGATGGCACAAAGAATACTTAACTTCACCCTTTTGGTTAAGATAACCAAGATAGAAACACTAAATGCTTTGTGCTTTAGTTTTACTTTAAAGCTCTAATCATCACCCTGGTTTTAGTTAGTTAATTGTTACTAGCTAAGACTTAAGGATTTGTGATGCAACCAAATGTAGTAAAAGGACAATTTAAATCTAACTAGTGTTAACTAAGGACTTTACACACAAACAGTTAAAAAATTCAAACTTGCACGAAACTGGTGCAGCCGAGTCCGGTTGTTTATTTTTCATTAAGATTTTGTGTTTTTTTTTCCCCCACGCAGGGTGTTGAATCTTCATCATCAGGCATCACCAGTGTCGCGAGCTCCCAGCATGCCAGCAGTGGAAACGAACTACATCCCCCCTCCCCCTCCTCTCATTCAGGACTACCGCCACTATTACCACACACCCAGTGACCTGTCAGGTATGTGCCTAAACTGCCTGCTAAGCAGAGCGTGTGTTATGTTTTCTGTAAGACTTACGGCTGCTTGCTGATTTCCTTTACATTTTTTCACTCCAAGGCAAGAAAGAAATGCATAAACTTGTGCAATGTGATCTTTTTTTGTATTTTTACGATCTCTTACTGTTCATTTATTTTTGTTCCACAGATCTGAATTTCTTTTCATTTCTACAAGGGGAAAATCATTCGGTAAGCTCTCAGTTGTTTTAGTTAGCAGGGAGCACTGCATGTAAATTAAGGAGAACTTGTACTTAACCTACACTACCATTTGCAAGTTTTGAATCACTTACTTTATAAATTTATTTTAAATAAAATAGTAACTCATACAGTGTATATTAATATATAATTAGACACCAAAAAGAACTTCAGGTCACTAGCCAAACAAAAAAATAAATTAAAAAAAGGGCCAGTTTGGTTGTTTTTGGTATGCTTTGGTAGTTCTTGCTACAGGTCTGATAAATTGTGTTTACAGCCTATAAATTGCTTTCTGTTAAAATAATGAAATGGCTAAAGCTCACTGTGTGAAGAAGTAATAAAGGCTGCCGTTATCGTAGCTATATGTTGTCTTTTTTGTTTTAATAACTGATGTAATCACAACATAATCTTTTAAGCCTCTATTCAAGTTTTGTGAGGAAAGTCAAAAGGCTGTGCGTAAAAGGCTGCACAGCTTTATCAGTTTAACAAGCATGGCAACAGGTTGCAAGGGCGACAGAATGCTGTAAAGCCAGACATATCGGAGCTGATTCAGGACGTGGGCTATTACACATTAAAAGAAAACGCATTACAAGAAAACAGATTGCAAGAAAAATATAATTACTTTTGAGTATCTTAAAGGACATTTAAATTGTTCAGCTTGATTGAAAACGAAATCGATGGAAACTGAGGTGTATGTCTTGCTTTCGCATGAAAAACTAAGAATTAAGTGTAGTGCGTGTGAGGGTTCTGTATCGTACTCAGTTTCTGCTGTTCCTTTTATATACTGCTATATGCTGTCAGATCGTTCCCACCAGTGATTAGTGCTGCACCGCAGCTCATTTCCCCTCTTTCTGTTCCTTCATCTCCAGCATTACAACATGGTGATGGCAGCTGCAGCTGCAGCATCGGCCTCGGCGTCAGCTTCAGAAGACCACGAGCTCCTTCTGAACCGCTTCATGCCCTACAACTCATCGCAGCTGTACCTGGAGCAGGCGGGCACACCTGTGAGCGGTTCACTGGCGCCGGTGAACGGCAGCGGGGGAAGCAGCAGTGGTAGCAGCAGCAGTCTGGTGTCCTCCAGCAGCCTGCGGGACACACACCCCCACAGCAGCATGTCCCGCTCACGCTCAGACGCCGCCGCCTCCGTCATATATGGCTCCATCCCTGACGTCATCTCACTGGACTGACCACACGAGGGCGCCACACCCAAAGACTAGCCCTTACCACCATCCATGGGAGACGAGAGAAATTTGGTGCACTCAAAGAGGATTTAGATATGAATGGGGCAGAGAGAGCAGAGGGGGGAAAAAGGAGAGAACAAAGACTTTTGTACAAAGAAGAGAAGAAGAAGAAAAAATGCTGTACAGAGAAGAAATATCTATTTTCAGTTTTACTTTTGTATATAACCAACAGGACGCTGCCTGCCCAGCGAGTGACTTCAGTTGAGATTTTTTGTGTGGATACTGAAGATGTTTTTTCACTGCTCTGTGTGTCGTCCCTTGACTATCTTATTCTGTACCTTTTATACTCTTTTTTGGTATTTTGTTTCACCACAAACACTTGCAGTCCTAATCATGGAATCAGATTCATCTTGGTCAGTTTTTTTTTTCCTCGTCTTATCGTAAGACTCTGGCCTCAGACATTGTTTTGATCTTTTGAGGGGTCAGTATGTTATTTAATTAAACTTTCTTGTGCAGGTAATTTATGAGGCTTTTAACTTACGTAGTTTGTATGCTGTATAAAAAGCATTTCCTTATGCCATTACAGGATCTAGCCATGAGGCACGCTCGGAACGGAAGCGACAGTCACCTCTAATTCCAGCTTTGCATTTACCTCCACCTAGCTCTCCTTTCTAATCTTTTCAAAAGAAATTGAGTTTTGAGCAAATCATGCAGAAATCTCATTTTGAAATAATCTAATTTTGATCTGTTTTGAGTCACTCATCAATTGGGCAAAAAAATCAGAGACAAAATTGAAAGTGTCGGGTACTGGGGTATGATGTGTTTATGAAGTAAATCACCTGAGGAATTTTGTGTTATAACAGAAGACTGATGGAGGTGTTCCATTCTATCCACCTTCAGACTTTAAGGGACACTGAAATTAGATTGTATTTAGAGCCCTCTTTAAGGGCACATTGGCTTTATTTCAGGAGCCAAGCACTGAGTTTTATGTTGAAGGAGGAATTGCTTTTGGCTCCAGCTTTCTCATATTAAACATGCTGCCTGTGCTGATTATTAGCCTTCACTTCTGCAGAACATCAGAACCACTTCCATTAAATTGTCCTAACGACCACATTATCCTGAACTACGCTCGGTTGCAGTGATCATACATTTTTGTCTGTCTGTCTGAACAGGGCGTATTCAACTTGAAGCACACCCCCATGGTCAGAAATGTAAACAAGTGCATAAACAAAGAAATATGAACTTTGTCTTGACTGCCTGGAAGTGGTTAAAACTAGCATTGTATTCAGCATACGTACCTGATGTCTCTTCCAATGGTTTGGGATAACAGTTGCCGTATTCTCATAGCCCTTGGGGCTGTGATGATCATCTCTCTGAGTTTCTTTAAAGGGATAGTTTAACGTTTTGACAATGTATTTTTTTCTTACTGATGAAGAGTAGTACTGTTATTTTCCCTCCTCCTTTTCATTCTACATACAGTGCGAATGGACTGTAACTGTTTAACATGATGATAGGATATCTACAGAATCTTAGCTAATACTGAAACAGGAGATCCCTGTTCTAATACAACATTTACATATTCAACAAATATATGTAAATTGTTTGAGAAATATTGATATTTGGACCTGTTTACCACCAAATCGCTCATTAATCAACTGCCTAGGCTTGTCACGATCATTACATTTTAGCTGATGATTCATTGCAGTATAAATAATTGAAAAATAATTGAATTGTCTTGTTAATTGTATTGCAACTATTAAAGTACAAGCGTAAAATGGCTAAATTGGCAGATAGTTGTTGATACTTCATAGCTCAAGCTCACAAACAAACATTACTCACTGCTGCCCTCTGAAGTGATAAGTCAGAAGTTACAACTTCTGTCTGAATAAAAATTCTTCTGCATTTTTTTGTTTTATTTTATTGCCACAGCCACGTGGATGAAAATGCAATTTGCATTGTTTGTTACACTTTAAACATTTTAAATGTGACAGTGAAAGCTTACAGTTATGTAATAATTGTGACAGGCCTGCCACTGCCTATAGGAATTTTCACCTGTGAGGCTCGCTTCTGAAGCTGTTATAAGGGAGTTGTGTAGCTGTTCCTGTAGATTCCTACATCCTCGTACAGCATAATAGAAACAGTACAGCCATGTGAATTTGTGCATGTAGAAGGAAAGCCTTGACTGCCAAAATGTTTAACTATCCTTTTAAATTCTATTAAATGTTTTTGTAGGTGAGCTCACAGCTACGTCATCGTTGCTGCCCCCCCCCCACCCCTTTGTATAAAATTGAATTTATTTATTTTAATCTATATATTTTTACTATTTGTTTGACAATTATGCTTTACTGTCATCTGTCATTGAACATTTATTTCCTTATTAATTATTTAAAGAGCTCTTGTCACTTGCTTTGCATTGTAACAAGTATCTTTTTATTTGTCCTTGTGTCTCTCGTTCTCTCATATTGATCTTTGTCTGTGCTGTACCAGATGGTTGAGGCATTAATTCCATCTCCTGAATCTATCATGCTGTGTCAGATTTGACCTTTTTGTTGCAATTAAACACTTTAACAGTGAATGCCAGCTGAGTGTGGATATACTCTGGCTCCATTGTGACGTATACCTGGTAAAAGACCCTTCATATAGTTAGACAGGCTGCAGATCCATTACTCACTGTCACTGTGGTCCAGACACTGGCCGTTTTAAGGCATATACAGAGCATATATACGTGCGGAGCCTGACTAAAATCATCACACACATGCACTGAGGGACCATGAACTGATCTCAACCACCTCCAAGATGAGATTACACTGAATTTAAGCCATGACGATGAGTTCGCTTCAGCTTGCAGCCCTAGGGTTTATTTATTTTTACCCCCCACAAGGATTGCCAAGCACACAGTCACATACTGCGAGCTCTTTCTTTTACAGTATACATGTTAAATGGCCCCTCAGTTAACACACCTCACACCATTTTCAAATTAGAAGCAAAATCATACCACTAGACAAGGGGGTCAGCCCATTTTAGCTGTACCAGTACGACTGGCAAGCATGAGTTCTCTCTGCCTTAAATTCTTGTATTATTTTATGGTACATTGAGAGAAATCATTATGTATATCAAGCCACTATTGGTTTGTACAAAATATCAAATAAATTATTTATTATTTGCTTTGGAATACATTGTTTACCTAATGAATGTTACTTGTTTATGTAGAGAGCGGTTTAGCTGTAATAAAACAAATACAACTATTAACCATTTCTGTCTTTTATTATCTATATTTTGCTCTCCCTTTTCTTGACTTGGTTGCAGGTGACACAGTGAGGTTCAGACTTGGTGTGGTTTAGAAAACCATTTAAAAAGCTGAAAAACACTAAAAAACTTTAATTTGCAAAGTGTAAAAATGTTGAACCTCATTTATGATTAAATCAAAAGTAAATTACAAATTTTACAATACATTTCTCTAAAGCCCCAGGAACTTAAAGAACTGCTAAAGTACCACCACAGTCATCCTATGATTGCCTCTTTGTTTAAAATGGTAAACAAACATATTTCAGTTCTTATTATTGCTGTTTGCAAGCCTTGTTGTAAAATGACCTCCATTGTTATAATCATTTCCAATTGGACTTTAACTAAAAAAGTTGGCAGTATTGAGCACCTTGTTTAAGGTGCAGTCTCTGATTACAGAGATAGCAGTGCAGTGCCTATGCAGAACACATTTGGAGAGAACTTGGATAATTTGGATGGATGCTCCTTGTACACCTGCGGACAGGTCAAGGTCTAATATCAAGTTAAGCAGTGAGACAGTATACAGATAGTCTGCTCACACAGAAGTCATCCTCTAGTAATCTCACTGCTTCCAAGTCTCCAACAACTGTCATCCACACTTTTCAATGGATGAGCCTCTTTATTCTTTCAAAATAATACCTCACACTTCACAATAATGCTAGAAGGAATAAATCTTAAGTCAAAGAGATATTATGAAAGTGTACCTAAGGCACAACCAGGATGTACTGCCTCAATAAATGCAAAGTGACCTGAGGTTCCTCATGAGTAAAACCTAGGGAGATTTTTAATGGCCTCAAATGTCTGTTCATCATGAACTTTTACAATAGCAGCAGCCAAAAAATGTATCAAAAATGGCCAGTCTGTCAAATCGGCACACAATAGATCTGTCACTGCAGTTTGTATTAAGCACAGAGCTAGTATGACTACTATGACACTAAATCCATCCACTTACCACATAAATCAATCAAAGATACTGATGTCAAGCAATACTGTCTCCTCTCTCTTAGATAAGCTGCAAGGTCCCACATATATTATTGAAATACACAGATTATAGATGAGTTCTCAGTTAGTGCAATCAGAAAGAGTGTGATTTTTTTGTGATTTTTGCTCTGTAGGCATGATTAATGAGGTAGGTGATAGAATTTTATGGTCATGGCGACAAATATATTTTCACAGTTATGTGTAATAAAATTCAGTATTAATGTTAATAAAGGAAGAAAGCTCAAGCTATTCTGAATAAATGCAATGGGTGAAGATGCTATACATCCTTAAGGACTCAATCAAATTAATGTACACCTACAGATAATCCACCCATGCACTTATCCTAACCTGAAATGCCAGTCAAATGGTGAGGAGAATGGTGTTGGTAGGTCCTCTATGACTTCTATCACCACAGGAACTGAGCACTACATTAGCTCTCACGTGAATCATTCGCACACTACAACACACGTGTCCTGGAACAGTATTCCTGCATATACAGTTGTCTAACTGCCTGCTCATGAGTGAAACCTGGCGTGGTGAGCCCTTAGACATAGGACCCATGGTCTGGAAGTTTATCAAAAGACTGCAAATAAAGAGCCACTGCAATCCTAGATCCTCAATGAGTGTTTCCAGAATGAGTGGAAAGGAAGGGAAGGCATTAAAAAGCTTAGGAGTTAAGCAGTTCCAACAGGAAGAGCCACTCAATGATTAGAGTCTGTGCTGATAAAGAGTTCCATGGAAGCAATGGCGTATTTGTCCTAAATCATCTGGACCAGTTCCAGATGCAGTCACCACACTACTGGAGGGAGCTGCTATCTTAATAACGAGTATGTCATATGGTTACCAAGAGGGTGATTAAGAGTATGTGAGTCAGAACAAGCCCATCAACCTTGTGCTCCCTTGATGAAAAACCAAAGCCATGATATCTACCCGTATTAGCCACAAAACCAGCAAGCCACTGTCTCAAATTCCAGCTGTAAATCGAGCTGAATGATATCCAAACTGGGCCACTTCTGCTGGTGTCAGACTGCCCTCCAACATGACAGGCATGCAACGTCATGAACACCTTCCTGCCAAAGGGAATCAACATAATGTGCATCAAGAGATACTCAACCCACACACTTGTCATAAATGTTTAAGTGTGGATGAGGAATGACGCTATAGAAACTGTTGCACCATGGGGTCAGTCTACAGGTACAACACCAGTCATCTCTGCACTGATTTTCTGCACACCAGCCAAGCATCTTCCAAAAAAAGGCATATGTGCATGCATCAACATGAGTCCTGCATGCATGTGGCCTGCCTGCTCATAGTACATCAGCAGGTTCTGATCCAGTCCTTACAGTCATAAATGAATATGGCCAGAAAATTGATCAAAAATGGCTAACTGGTCAAATCTGGCACACAGTACATCTGTCTCTGCAGTTTGTATTAAGCACAGAGCTGGTATGACTAGTATGACACTAAATACATCCACTTACAACAGACACAGATCAATCAAAGGTACTGAAAAAATCAGTGAAATCTCGTCTCTCTTAGATAAGCTTCATGGTCCTACATATATTATTCAAATACACAGATTATAGAACAGTTCAGTCTCAGTTGGTGCAATCAGAAAGAGTGTGATTTTGCTCTGTAGGCATGATTAATAAGGTAGGTGACAGAATTTCACGGTCAAAGCGACAAACATATTTTCACAGTTACGTTTAAGTAAATTCAATATTATTTTAAATGAAATCTAAAGCTATTCTCCCTCGCTTTCTTCTTGATCACTAACCTCCACCAGATCTGCTCCTTCAGCCCTGTCAGTCTTCTTTAGCTTATATCACTCCCTCTCTTCCTGTGTTTAGTAATACATTATTTTTTTATTAAACTCAGATTCCCAAATACAAATCCATTTAAATATTTTTTGTTTGTTTTAACAAATATTTTTACCTGACTGGCCTTCAACAGAGCTGCCGCCTCTACATCTATTTCCATCTACAGGCTGAGGAAGTGAAGGATATAAAATTGCTTTACGATCAACTCTATATGACGTTTTCACTGTCAATAACTTACTGTAAACAACAATATAAGGCAAACACTGGTGTCACTGTTTCCAAATACCTAAGAGAAACATAAAAACAAAGAATATAAAAAAGTTCTATTATTTAATCTTATTTCTATCTCTTTTGCTCGTTCACTCTCACACTCTAACTACGAAGTTTCTTTAAATTCTTGAAGTAGCTGACTTCTCAGCTGGCTAGCTAAGGCGAGTGTTAGCATAGCCCCTTTTCTTTGCCTCAAGTAAATCCAAAGCTAGCTAGCTAACAAGCAACCAAGTAAAAACTCATCTACACTGACCATAAACTGACACAAGTCCTTATCGTAGGTGGGTATCTTCACTCTGCAACTACTTACTGTTTCACTCTGTATTTTTAATAAGGTCTGACGTTTCTCTCAGGGAGCTTTTAGCCAAAATCCCGTCTTCACCTTCAGCGGTTGCTCTTTACCTTACTTTGCAGAGCAGTAAAACAAGAGACCCTCCCCCAGGTCTGATATGATTGGCTTATATTTTACGAGGTCTGATATGATTGGCTTACAACTTGAGAATTCTGATATGATTGGCCGAGCTGCTTCTTCCACTTTTTTCACGTTCCTTTAGTAAATCACTTGTAGCACAGCAGAGGCAGCACCGCATTAGAGCAGCAGCAGCGCCTCCTTCAGGTGACGCCCGGCTATCACAGTATAGTGTGAACTTGGAAACGCGAGGGCATTGTTGAATAATGAAGAATGAACGCATTTCTACATTAAAGTAAACTAGTCAAGCTGTGGTGCTGAGGCGAACTCGTATATTTCTCAAAGTACAAAAAAAACTCATAGTCTTTAACAAACCTTCGTAATAACAATGTAGAGGTCAGTACATGTGCCAGTTTTTTTTATCAAGTTTTTTTTAAATAAATTAATTAATAAATTGTATTACTATTATTCATTTACTGTAGGTCAAGTCTGTGGCCCCCTAAAGAGCCCTGCCTCTGATGCAGCCCTTCCAGATGATCTAGAGGAGGATTTATTGTCCTAACTATGGCTAATGAAATGTTTAACTATAAGCTTTCTTTGAGCCTATTACCTACCTGTGTACAGTAACGATTATGTGTCTCTTTTGATTTAAGGGTTCTTTTGCTTTCTCCATGCATCATGGGTGTCAATGTGGAAGAGAGTAATGCTAGTGATTATTCACCTGCCTGGAGCTTATTGAATGTCAGCTGCAACACCACAAATCACTAAACTGTAACTAATAATTACTAATGTAGGCAACTAATGGATGACCATCATTTATCATTTGTAACTATAAGAGAACTTTTTTTCTATATTTCTTTATTCACCGACTGGACACTTCATTAAGTACACATACATGTACATTCACTGTTCATTTTATCAGCTCCACTTATCACTTCTAGTTCTACAATTACAGACTGTAGTCCAACATTCTCAGCACTGCAGTTACACTGACATGGTGGTTGTGTGTTAGTGTGTGTGTGTTATTGTTTGTTGTGCTGGTACAAGTGGACCAGACAAAGCAGTGCTGCTGGAGTTTTTAAACACCTCAGTATCACTACTGGACTGAGAGCAGTCCAGTATAGTAACTGCCATGTAATCTGTATTCATTGTAATTAGAGTTGGACATTAAGGTGTGATTATATTACAGGATTATGTTTTTTTAGGATTATGTTTTTGATTTGACTATGTCAGTCTATTAATTCTTAATATACTGAATGTGCCTTTAAACTGGATAATAGCTGTGTTGCTATGCCTGATAGTCATAAAGGGTACCACAATAATGTAGTTTTGTGGAACGAATGAAGAGGAAAATGAGCTTTAAATTTCAAACAGACAAGACAGGGCAGTCAGTATTTGACTTGGATGTATGGAAACAACTTTACTTTTAAAGAGAAATTGTTCGCATGCAGTCATTTAGAGTGGACTGACATAAAAAACGCTCCATTCTGGAGAAACTTCAGCTCAAATTAAGTCAGAATTGTTCACAGTGGTGGTGATATAATTTCCATAAAATCTCCCGCAGTGGTCTGTCACTGCAAGCTAAAACAGGCTGGCTGTGGGAATGGATACGTGTGTCGTCTTATTTCTGCTTAATTATCATTACATCTAACATTATAGAATTATTTTACTTAAATATTTATAGAGAGATGCAGATCACACTGTGATTGTACTAGGCAATAGAATTGCTCTTGATACTGAATATATATCAGAAAATACATGACAATGTAAATCTTGTTAATAATATCGGTTTTGTGTTTTGACATATAAAGTATTAGATATCATTACTGTATGATTAATGGTACTTTGTTCACCTAGTTTTTTGTTTACAGTGCTGTATAATTGCAGGATTGGAATGTAACAGAATACAAGTACTGGGAATACATATTCAGAATACAGGAATTAAGAATCTGCATTCAGTCTATGTTACACTGTATTGAGAATACACACACACACACACACACACACACACACACACACATTTTCTAAGCTGCTTATCCTTCTGGGTCGCAGGAGTCTATCCCAGCGGTCATTGGGCAGAAGGCAGGATCACCCTGGACATTTAGGAACAGTGTGTTTAGTATTCAGCCATCACTACCTTTTCAAAGTATTCTGCCCAACCCTGTATATTGGCCTTCACCTCCTGATGTTGGTCCACTCCACTTGTGCAAAGGCAAACACACCTTTTAAACACTAAGAATTGTTTCTAGTCATATTTTTGTAATCAGTACTTGGTTACACTTCTTAAGTAATCTACCCATCCTGCTGAAAGAAATCATAGAAACTATTAAAAGTCTTTGATAGTTCTTTGTGGTGTCCAAGTCTTAGTGCTTTTCTGGGTTGATATCACAGTGTAAAGGACTCTAATGGTTTACAAGGTGTTCTGAAACTGATTCCAGGTGCATTTGATGGTTTTCTAATGGGATCTAAAGGTGTTCTAAGGGAAACTAGTGCTCTCCAATGGTAACCATCAAGCCAATTCTCATTAGAAAGCAAAAGTTTTAAAGCTAATGGTTCTAATGGTGTTTTTTCAGCAGGGCAGCAGTGGCTGTCAGGGTGGTCTGGCCAATCCTGGATTTGAATGGGCGGGCTGTGGCGAGGCGCTGGTGTTGCACTAGTGCGTCTCAGTACCTCAGTGCAGAGCTCACAGTTGAGGCAAGGCTGCTGGCAGCTCTCCCATTCTGGACAGATGATGGCTGAGCAGAACAGCAGCGGGCTGTTTAACCGGACTTCACCGGACCTTGGCAGGTTTGGAAACCTCGAGGACATCGACGTGACTGCTGACAGAAGCCCTGTCCTCAGGATAACCATCTCCATCGTTTACTCTGTTGTGTGCGCAGTCGGCTTGGCCGGGAACCTGCTGGTGTTCTTCCTGATGAGGACGAAGCGCGGCAGAAGGCGCTCCAGCATTGACGTCTTCATCTTCAACTTGGCTCTGACCGACTGCCAGTTTGTGCTGACTTTGCCCTTCTGGGCGGTGGACACTGCCCTGGACTTCAGCTGGCCGTTTGGAGACGCCATGTGTAAGACAGTGCTCTCGGTGACGGTGATGAACATGTACGCGAGCGTCTTCTTCCTCACCGCCATGAGCGTCACGCGCTACTTCTCCGTCGTCTCCTCCACCAAGACCCCGCAGCCCCGGCCGGTGGGCTGGGTCAGGTGGGCGTGCGCGGTGCTGTGGTTCCTGGCCACAGTGGCCACGGCTCCCACTGCCATCTTCTCAGCGGTGACCAACGTGGCCGGAGAGAAACTTTGCCTGCTGAAGTTCCCCGCCGGACAGTACTGGCTCGCCTTTTATCACCTCCAGAAGATCCTGCTAGCTTTCGTGCTGCCAATGCTGATCCTGTCCGTGTCTTACTGTCTGCTCCTGAGGTTCGTGAAGAGGCGCAGCATGAACAACTGCAGGTCCAGAAGGAAGCTCCGAGTGACGAAGACGGTCACTCTCATGGTGCTGTCCTTCTTTCTGTGCTGGCTGCCAAACCAGGCCATCACCTTCTGGGGCGTTTTAGTAAAGTTTAACGTGATTTACTGGGACGAAGCGTATTACACCGTCCACACCTACGTGTTCCCAGCGAGCGTCTGCTTAGCTCACACCAACAGCTGCCTGAACCCCTTCATTTACTGCCTCATGAGGAGAGAGTTCAGGAGGAAGCTGAAGAGCTGCGTGCTAAAGGTAGCGCCCTGCTTACTGGTGAGCTCTCAGCCCACAAACCTGAGAGACGTCATGTCACCAAACTCAGCCAGATAAGAGAGAGAGACTGGCTTTTATTTCACTATCTGGGTCAAGACTGGCTTTACAGCACGACCACTAACCTGGAGGACTTGGAGAGGCACTTTTCTTCAGTAGAGTTCATTTTATTCCTGGAACGTTTTTATAAATGTACTTTTTTCTTTGGTGCTTTCTGACAAAGTTTTAAAGTAAGTGCTTGAAAATGTTATTTTCCCTCCTCAGGCTGTCAAATCAGACACTGTAAAGCTATTTTCATCTTAAATGACTGAATAACAGGGTTAAACACAGAGATCATCATTAAGCTGATATCAAATGCATTAAAAAAAACAGACTTTCAAATCTTTGTTTTAAGACATTTCCATTATAATTTTCATTTAAAATAATAGATCACAGGGTTGCAAATTGTGCCTAAAATAAGCAGCATTCTGGAGTGATTAGCTTGACTGGGTGCACGTTTTGCCTGCTAACTGCTAAAAACCATATAGTTTACATACATTTTAAAGAATAAATAATAATTTTCTAACAATAATTTTGCTACCAGGGTTGAATGTCCAAGCTTTACCCATGCAACCAAATCTATTTTATGTGTAATTTGAGAACATAAAGTGAGAATAGACTACTGACTTGTATGATAGTCGTTCTGCAGATGATGCAAATTCCTGTATATATCATAATAAATGGAATGTTCCGTTATTTTACGAGAGGGAGCAGGTTTGGCTAACAGGGTTGCACATAAAATGTGGGACAAAGATTAAAATGACTTTTTGTTAAATCAATATATAATGTATTGAGTGAATTAATAGGGAAAAAACATGCTTTTACCATTAAATTGCTTGAAATTGAACCAAGCAACACTGTAATTAGTCACTGGAAGATTTTAATGTTTTTCATAGATGTTCAATATCAGTGAGGTGGAAGAGCCCAAAATCACCATATCAACGGTGGATACAGACATTTAATGTCTCATTTAAATGTTCATTTCAATCATTTTTTTTAAGTTAAAGCACAGATCCCTTCACTTTTTACAGTAACAGGACTTCAATTGAACTCTATTCATGGAAAGTGCAGTGACTTCTGTCTTGTTGCACTGTGATGGTTATGTCCATTGAAGAAATGTGATTTTTCATGTGTAACTCTTAAAAGTAAATAAATTAACCAGTCATGTGACTTTTGTTGTTTGTTAGGCACCTGAGAAAATTAGCATACACTTAAAAAGATGTTTGTCTGGGGAGAAAAGGTTTATTAGCACTAATACTAGAATATATACAAATAATATTCACATAATATGATTTTATGCGTGTCATTTTTTTACCATTTCCAAACTGCTCTCGAGGAAGCCCAGTGTTATAGTTATCATCCAGTACCTGGTTGCCATTTTATTAAGAATGAGGCATTAAGTATCCCTACTACCCACATTCAGTGGCCATTTACTACACCTGCTGTATAGGTGCATTCAAAGGTATTTATCAGCCAGCCTCCATCCCTTTCATTAATGCAATAGGACCACCACTGACCAGATGTTATTTGGGTGCTGGACCATTCTCAACACTGTGTTGAAAGCAACATGGTAGTGTTACGTTAGTATTTGAGCCCAAGTGTATCAGGCTGAACAGCATTGCTTATGTTTTTTATCTATCTATCTACAACCCCAATTCCAAAGAAGTTGGGATGCTGTGTAAAATGCAAATAAATGTAAATAAAAACAACAGAATGCAATGATTTGCAAATCTTATAGACCCATATTTTATTCACAATAGAACACAGAACACATATCAGATGTTGAAAGTGAGACATTTTACCATTTCATGAAAAACAGTAACTCATTTAGAACTTCATAGCAGCAACGTTTCTCAAAGAATTTGGGACAGGGACAACAAAAGGCTGGAAAAGTAAGTGGTACTAATAAAAAACAACTGGCGGAGCAATTTGCAATTTCAGAAAAATGTTCCTCAATGTAAAATTTTACATAGTACATAATATCATCAATAGATTCAGAGAATCTGGAAATCCCTGTACGCAAGGGACCAGGGTGACGGTCAATATTAGATGCTTGTGATCTTTGTGGCCTCAGGTGGCACTGCATTGAAAACAGGCATGATTCTGTACTGGGAATCACTGCATGGGCTCAGGAACACTTCCAGCAATCATAGTCTGTGAACACAGTTCGCTGTGCAATCCACAAATGCAAGTAAAAGTTTTATCATCATTTAGGTATTCTTAGTGTAGCTGGTTGTCTGTACATCCAAATCTTGTCTTTCTTTAATGCATCCCTAAAGCTTTGAAATCTCTGCTGGAAAAAGAAATCATAGAAACCATTAAAAGTTTCTGGTGGTTCCTGGTGGTGTCCAATACTCGCTAATGGTATTTTGTGTTTTCCTGATGGGTTGATATCACAGTGTAAAGGACTCTAATGGTTCAATAGGTGTTCTGAGACTGATTCCAGATATGTTTGATGGTTTCCTAATGGGATTTAATGGTCTTTTTTCAGCACAGATGTAATGACAGTTAAGCAAGGCTGGCTCAGGTATGCCTACCATCAAGGTCTACATAGCCTTTATTATTGTCTATTGAATGTATTGTCGGGTTCACTGCTATTAAAAGACACACAGCTTTCGCATAAGTCATTGTGCTGTATTCTTCAGCTGCTGTCGCCAGTTTTTTTTACTAACAGTTCACTCTGTACTCAGCTCACGTCTCACTCTCAGCTCTTTCTGCTCATCACACACATATACCCCGCACCCTGTCCCCCTGGAGGACCTAGCCCCGCCTCCACAATAAAAGTCTTCAGCACAATAACTCCTGAATAAATGTTGAAGAATAAATAACCTGAAGCCAACATGCAAAACATTTCTTGAACACGCTAGTATATTACTAATTTTGCATACGAGGTGGCGTTGAGTGATTTCTGACACAACACTAAAACTTTTCATAAAAATTGCACTCTCTGAAAAACCACAAATAGTCTGTTCCAGATCTCATAACAAAACGTAAACATTTGGAAACCTTTTACAAGGCTATTTATTTATTTAGTTATTTAGTTAGTTAGTTCTGAATGCATAAATGAATGAACCTTTCCTGAAGTCATTTCCTCTCGAGTAAAAGTTGGCGGTGTTTCGATTCCCTCCTTTCTGTACGGAGAGACTGCTGTTTATATGAGATCACGTGTCCAGGGCGCTAAAATAACGCGTCAACACAGAGCCGTAGTGCGGCGCCTTCACTGTGTCTGAACGAACTCGGAGCTGGCGATGCCTGGATTTGATTTTCCAGCTATTTTTATTGTTTAATCTGTGAATGGCGCCTAAACAGGACCCTAAACCTAAATTTCAAGAAGGTAAGACTGCGTCTGAAATGCGGTATGTGGAGTAGAAAATGGCTCCAGACTGCGCTGCTGCAGTGCTGCTCTGCTGTTTGAACTCTCTGCTGGTGAACTCTCACAATGGCGCACAGTGGAGCTAAAGCTACACAGTGGTAGCAAGAGCATCTTATCTAGTTCTCAGTGATAAGCACTTTGATTTAAATGATCAGATAGGAGCAGCACTTATGCATCATTATGGGATTATATTGTAGTTTTCATTGCGAATCAGATGAAAAGCGCTGAGAAATCAAGGCGGTCAGTCGAATTTAACTGTCGATACAACCTAGCTAGCATTAGCCACTCAGCAAGCGAGCAAGCTAGTCCAGTGTTCAGTTTATTACTCACCCACTCTGCTTGTGTCTAGATAATGTTGTGATTAGGTAGGTTAGTTAACTGACTGACAACGTTTTGTGGAGGTTATGCAAGCCTACACATGACGAGCAAGGTAACTTGTATTCTCTGTTGATATTTGTTTCACTTGTTAAACGGTTAGCTTGCCTTTTTCCTTATTGAATCTAATATTACACGTCTGGTTCAGGGTTGTTACTGTTCATCTTCTTAGGAATGTGTCCCAGAAATTAGCTTCCGTGTCGTAATTGGTTAATAATGGTAATTTATTATGTATTTTTATCAGCTTTATAGCAAGTAACTATTTAGCTTTCATTGTTATAAGTAATGACTAAGTGGAAACACGCAGGCGAAGCAGTTGGAGAAAAAGCTCAACTTTAAAACAAGAGAAGCTTGAATTCTCTAATGTTGAGTTGGATTTTTTACTTGTGTTTTATTTTAGGTGAACGAGTGCTGTGTTTTCATGGGCCATTGCTATACGAAGCTAAGGTAACTGATTCTCATTCCATTGTTATGAAGCAGGTACAACATTAAAACCACCTCATTGTATCTACACTCATTGTACATTGTATTATCTCCCACTATCATCCACTTACCGTATAGGTGCTCTTTGTAGTTCTGCTGTTTCAGACTGTAGTCCTTCTGTTTCTCTGCATAATTTTCACCCTGTTCTTCAATGGCCAGGACCACCACAGGACCACCACAGCAGTGCTGCTGGAGTTTTTTAATACCTCAGTGTCACTGCTGTGACAGTGAGTGGACACAGTATTTAAAAACTTCAGCACTGTTGTGTCTGATCACTCGTATCAGCACAACACACTCTAACACACCACCATGTCAATGTCACTGCAGCGCTGAGAATGATCGACCATCCAAACAGTAGAAATAGAAATAGAAATAGAAAAGACTGACAGTAGAACAGGATGCTATGCAGAAGGTCACCTTGTCCAGTGCCAACCATCAGTTAGAGGGGTGTAACGCCCTCCAACATTAGGCTGTGGAGCAGTGGAACTGTGTTCTCTGGAATGATGGAGCACTATTGAATGTTCCTATTGCTGAATGCAATCAAATCCTCATAGCAATGTTCCAACATCTAGTGTAAAGCTTCCTAGAAGAGTAGAGGGTGTTAGTGCAGCAGAGCGGACAAACTTGCTAGTTATACCCTTGATTTCAGTGTAAACATTGGATAAGTGTCTGCAAACTTTTGGACATATAGTGTGTATGTATATGTATGAGGTAATCATAGTAGTGATTATAATGTTGGTTATAATAAGAATGTCTGAATTTTCTGGTCCTTTACTAGCACCAGGGGCTGGGGAGGGGACCAGTACAGGAGAAATGCCTCATCCCCCACGCAAGAAGAGGGCACGTGTCGACCCAACTGTTGAGAGTGTACAGTACCTGCTCTGTGGTGGTCCTGTGGGGGTCCTGGCCATTGAAGAACAGGGCGAAAATTATGCAGAGAAACAGATGGGCCACAGTCTGAAATTGTAGAACTGTAAAGTGCACAGAGTGTAGATACAAAGATGTGGTTTTACTATTATGAAAATGGTTGCAATTGATGCAATACATCATTTATCACACTGATGATAGAAAATAGCAGTAATAAGGTACAAAAGGTACAAAACCTTTGATCCATACCATTTTGAATTGTATCATTGACATTTTCTTTTCTATAACTAATGCACAAACAACCCCCTCTCTAAAAGTCAGTTTGGTTTCTTCTTTAGCAAAGAGGCCTTTCAGGCTGCTGCACCCCAGTGAAACTGATCAGTCTGTTGAGTCTGTTTGATCTTTGGCTTCAGCTTGAGGTCACAGTTCATGTGGAGATGTGTACATTCACCTCTTTGTAATCTCTCTCTACAGTGTGTAAAAATCAATATCAAGGACAAGCAAGTGAAATACTTCATTCATTATAGTGGATGGAACAAGAAGTAAGTTTTCCCTCATTCACTCTGTGGCATTAATGTTAGTGAGTGGATTCTGCACCAATATTAATATTGTTTTTTCCCCACAAAACTGTCAGAAGATTAAGCATTTTCATGATTTAAAAGAATGATTGCATGACACTGTTTATATTATTGCTTTATTCCATTAATTTGAAAATTCTTCAAAAATATGTTCTGTTTTCAGCTGGGACGAATGGGTTCCTGAAAGCCGTGTACTCAAATATGTGGACAGTAATCTGCAGAAACAGAAAGAGCTTCAGAAGGCAAATCAGTAAGTTCTCTGCTAAACCACACCACAGAAGAAAGTCTTACATGTATCATTTGTCTCATTTTTTTTGTGGTTGTTCTCCTTTTTTGCAGATTTATGGTTCTGCTTTAATGTCCAAATTTTTTTCATGCAACTGTAGATTTACTATATGACACAGTTTGAATGAAGAGTGCTGTATTGTTACTGTAAAGCATTTCCCTTCTTTTAATAGAGACCATTATGTTGAGGGAAGGATGAGGGGAGTCGCACCAAGCAAGAAAATAGCTGCTGTGCAGCAAAAAAACGTTGATGTGTGAGTTCTCCTTATGTTCTGTGAATTTGATGAACTGCATCCTCATAAGTCAAGATCAACAGTGTTCAACATTGTTTTTGCTTTTCTCAGAACTAAAAGATTTACAAATGTTAACTAAATTTGTAAATTTGTGTTCATTCTCCTTTACAGGAAAACAAAAAAGAACAAACAAAAGAGTAAGTTTTAATGTTTTTATGCAGTCACTGAAATTTGATTATAGATTTTCATGTATTGAAAGAGAGTTAATGTTGATGAGATAATATATAGTATATGTCTAGAAGTATCCAGACACTCCTTCTAATCAGCCCAGATTCCCAATAGAAAAGACTGACAGTAGAACAGGATGCTATGCAGAAGGTCACCTTGTCCAGTGCCAACCATCAGTTAGAGGGGTGTAACGCCCTCCAACATTAGGCTGTGGAGCAGTGGAACTGTGTTCTCTGGAATGATGGAGCACTATTGAATGTTCCTATTGCTGAATGCAATCAAATCCTCATAGCAATGTTCCAACATCTAGTGTAAAGCTTCCTAGAAGAGTAGAGGGTGTTAGTGCAGCAGAGCGGACAAACTTGCTAGTTATACCCTTGATTTCAGTGTAAACATTGGATAAGTGTCTGCAAACTTTTGGACATATAGTGTGTATGTATATGTATGAGGTAATCATAGTAGTGATTATAATGTTGGTTATAATAAGAATGTCTGAATTTTCTGGTCCTTTACTAGCACCAGGGGCTGGGGAGGGGACCAGTACAGGAGAAATGCCTCATCCCCCACGCAAGAAGAGGGCACGTGTCGACCCAACTGTTGAGAGTGTATGATAATTCCTACTGTGACAACACACGCATATATATGCCTAAACACATTATAGTAAAGAAATTATATAGCAGCATTTAGGACTGGATATTGGTGATTTTTTTTATATATATATATATATATATATATATCTCAGCTGAAATGTAGTTGGACATCCCAGGTCTTCTCACCGACCGGAATGTATTCTGTTAAGTGATTATTGGGAATGGTTTTGTTTTGCAGGAAGAGACCTTTATCAATCGGGTGGAAGTAAAGGTGAAGATTCCTGAGGAGTTAAAACCATGGCTTGTAGATGACTGGGACCTGATCACCAGACAGAAGCAGGTGACCCTTTAAACAGCTATGTTTAAAACTAACTCTGAATGTAAACCTAATTTAGCTCACACTAGAATTGAATTGCCTTTTGTGCAGTTCGCTACATACTAAACAATTTTTTTTGCATATTTTGTAAGATTACTTGAGTCAGGGGGGTGTTCTTGTCAAAAGAAATAATTGACATCATAAATGTTCCCTTTTTTATTTTAATACTGTATTTATGTAGTTTTTTAAATGTTGCAGCTTTTCCACCTGCCTGCCAAAAAGAATGTTGACGTTGTCCTGGAGGACTATGCAAATTACAAGAAATCAAGAGGGACCTCTGATAACAAGTATGTACATCTGAATATAAAACAGTACTGAGGTCAGAAAATAAAAGGAACCCATAGTCAATGCAATATCAATTTATTGTCATCTTGTTAGTAATGGCAGTAAAGGTGCCATTACGAACTTTGTTTTAGAGCAGCTTTATGATTTCTAATGGGCACACTGGGCAAGTCTCCTTTGTGATGAAGTGCTCAATCCCGCATGTATGTTTTTAAATAGGGAGTATGCTGTGAATGAAGTGGTTGCTGGCATCCGCGAGTACTTCAACGTTATGCTGGGAACACAGCTCCTCTACAAGTTTGAGAGACCACAGTATGCCGAGATCCTGGCAAACCATCCAGACACTTCAATGTCTCAGATCTATGGGGCACCACACCTGCTGAGGCTTTTTGGTATGACTCTTCAACCAAGCTCTTTACTGTGGTCATGCTTTGTGGAAAATTATACGTAATCTACGCCCTCAACCGTGATTTATGGTCACTGGTCATGGTGAGGGCACGTAGGCACTTGAACGGACATCATTAGCCTCCACCTGTCAATACATGAAACTCAACAAACTTTGAATTGCCACAGTCATGGAGACAGAATCATTTGGTTGCCTGGAGGGGTGCGCACGTGCCTCTCTTAAAAACTGAATGAGAACAGTGGCCTGAGGTTCTGCCTTCATGATAAACACTGGGATGCCACAGATGTAGCACTGACCATAAATCGGGATTTAAAAGTGAGAAAAGGGCTTTGGAGGATAGTGGTTATGCTGGTTCTTTCTTGTAGAGTCCCATGAATTGAAAAGTTAGCATGGAAAAAAAATCTTAATCTTAAGTATGTTCTACATACTGAAACTGAAAGTGTGAACCTGCTCTTGAGCCTATTGTTCACCTCCATAAGGAACACTCACTCTCAGCCCATTTGGGTCCTGACTTGTAGTCTCTTATAAATTACTGCACTGAACATTTCAATTCTTAGCCTGTATTAAATCGCAGGTATTTTTTCAGATTCAGACCTTAAGTACGTCTTGTAATGACAAAGTAGCACACAGCTAAATGGGTTTTGAGAGTCCTTAAAGACTTCAATTACAAACCATGTCTCAAGACTTGATTTTCACAATTAAGAACCTTTCATCAGACGTGGAGAAATGGGTCAAATAAAGATGGCACTTTTCTGTGTAGCCTGTCTGTTTCATGTTGTATGATTGTATTCACAGTGAGAATTGGAGCCATGCTGGCATACACACCGCTGGATGAAAAGAGCCTCGCTCTGCTTCTTAGCTACCTTCAAGATTTCTTGAAGTAAGTATGGGTCGATATTTACCTGGTACTGTCAAAAAGTGATGTTTGGCAGAGAGCTTTGCCTGAAAATCAGATTAACCAGAGATACCAAAATGAGTGAGACTGTGGGACAGAGTAGTTAAATATTGAATTAGAGGACTATCTGAGACAACATGAGTGTGAATTCAATTGCTTTAATTGGATCAAGGGCATATTTAGAGCACAGTGGAATTGGATAGAGATGCCCACTGCTGTTTTAGGTACCATCATTAACTGTTGGTTGTTCCCTCTCAGTTTTAAGGTAACAACATTTTCAGAGGTAGTGACACTTTCAGAAGATGGAGGGTCTTGCTCGGTGGTTGTTTAACTTTTTAAATGTTTGTTCTACTTAATGTAATTTAATCAGTGTTTAACTGAGTACTGTGTTTGCTCCAATCTGTGTTGTGAGAACTGAATTAATAGGCTTGTATTGAACGTTACAATATATTGCATTGTTACACTCCTGGGAATTATTTACATAAACATATCATGATTCTGATATGAGGAGCTTGGGAATTCAGGTGGAGAAAATATTGAGTGTTACATAATGCCTTTAGAGTGTTGAATGTGAATGTAGTTCAGTTTTATAAAAGCCTCTTTAAATAATTCGTTTGTGGAAATTAAGTTAAGGGGGGGAAATAATTTCCCTTGATCATTAACAGTAGCAGCTGAAATAGTGGCTTTCTTTCCTGGAGTTGTCAAGGTGATGATGAGTTACTTGAGGTAACTTCCTGTTCTTATGCATGAATATTCTTGTTGCCAGCTGAGTGCAAATACTATTGCATTTACAAGTCATTTTTGTGTAATAGTTGGTAAAATGCCACATATGTAAAGTGAAGGCAAACACACATGCACTGAAATGTGTCCTGACTCATGTGTTCAAACTGGTCAGCTGTTTTCCATTATCAGTGTCCTTTGACTGCAAGGGGAATTCCACCAATTGTGCAAAATTGCTGCATAATTGAATTGTTGGAAATAAGGAAAGTGCGTTATGATTTCTAACTCTCATTGACTTTTTGCTTCAAACTTCTGGTTCCTATTACCACCAATGATCAAAGCATACAAAATGAAGCTTTATTTGTTGTGTGTCTGATGCAGGTACTTGGCAAAGAATTCGTCGTCTCTTTTCAACGCCAGTGACTATGAGGTAGCACCACCAGAGTACCACCGCAAGGCCGTGTGAACGTAAAGCCAGTGAGGATCTGTGTTGCTGGGTTTTCATTGCTGAGTATTTTTCATTTTCTTTTTTTAATCCCAGTTAAGGGAGACCCAAAAACTTCAGGATGACCCTGTATAGATTTGGCTGATAGTCCACTGTACTGAACAGGTACTGCGTGTCATTGGAAAGTGCACATAACTGTCCGTATATGGTTGGAGTATATTTTGCTTCAAATAAAACTGATAAACAGAAACTTTGATAAAGGTGAACCATCAACCACAACTTTTTTTTCTTTTTTGTTTTGTATGTTTGTTAATAAATTGTCCTTTTCAAATATGAACCAAAGGCCTTTATTTCTTGAATAAACTATACAGTACCCCTGTTTTTTTTAATGAGCACATTCTTATTCTACATAGCAGTGAACAGTCTCACTGTAGAGTTTGAAAGATTTAAATACTTTTAGGTCTGAGTTTGTGTTTTGCTCTTAATTGCAAATAAGATGTCACTGTCTCTGTTGAAATGTATCCAAACATTTGTTGTTTTAGCAAAATAACTATTAAATATAAGAAATCAAGGTTTGAAGCACTTAAATAGTTTAACCCCTTAAAAAGAAACAAACATTTAAACGAGAAAAAAAAGTGTAATTCCTTTAGTTCTGAGGAACTCGGGCTCTGTGTGTGTAGGAATTCAATATAGTGAAAATCAGGGCAGTGTATCCATGGAAACCTTAGCCTCCTCTTTATGAGTGCACCTACTTTGTGTCATCAAAGTATAGGCGTACAGGGAAATGCTTCACAAAACATCTTATGCAATGTTAATCACAGCTTTTCTCCTTAAGGAGTTCAATTGCAGTATTAAACGGAACAGGTTCTTTCTTCTGTTCTAAGGTTTCCCAACTCCTTTACAATTAATGTCCCAAGGCAGTGTGATTTTTCAATGGGATTTTGTAGTGGAAAAGTGGAACTGAATTATGTCTTTGTAGTTACACTATATTTATGCAAAATGAAATGAAATGAAACCTTGAGTGTGGCTCTTTTTATCCAGGTCAGTGACTTTAACTCTTTACCAAGAAGTAGTATGTACTATAAATATCACAGTGAGATTTAAGATATTGAGAATTGTTTTCAAGTTACTTACTTTATCTTGAGGATCTAGAACCCCTTTTTGCCTTTAGTTTAACTGAAACACTCCCAGTGCTGTATTGTTCTGAGTGTACTGATGAATGAACTTATGGTGGTTTTTGATGTGCAGTTTTGGACGCAGCCCAAAGGAGTGATGCTTGTGAGTGAAGTATGACAGTGTGTTCATCTGGATCTTGTTCTTCAGAGTTTAAACTAGTTCACAAACAATAATGGAAACTTTTAAGTGTCTCAAGCTGATGAACTGTACTTAAGTAAACTGCCACAGCTTGTCTTTTAGTTTCTAAGTGCTGTAGTCTAGTAGTAAATAGGCCATGGCTCCAGGCAATACCCCGCCATAGGACACACGGGCAGCGCTGCACAAAGTATCCAAAACAAACACTCGGCTCATTGTGTGTGTGTGTGTGTGTGTGTAGGAGTCTGCAGGTCAGACTCCGCTGAGTAAATCATGTGAATCGGCTGTTTTTCCCTCAGCTCGACCTTCGCACTGAGACTTCACCCACAGCGCTGCGGTTTCCTACACATGTCCGTGTTTCCCTCGTTGCTGGTTTGCGGAGAGACGTCAGTGCTGGGTTTGGAGAGTGAATGGCGGGTTTGGCTTTCACAGGAAAAGTTTGACAGAAACTAAGTTCTTCGGTTCTTGCTGTGAACAAGGGTGAATCGGCAGACCGGACGGGGCTTTTTCGCTGCTCCGCAACAATGAAAAGTCTAAAACAGCGTCTGAAGAAACACGAGATATCGACCAGTGTGAGTATTCCCACATTTACGAGATAAAATCTCACCGTTTACTTCTTGGTCACTGGCCGTGACGTTCAGACAATAGCTCGGGCTGCTGGCTAGCTGACTGCGGTCGAGCTCCGGAGGAAAACGAGGGTGTGGGCGACTCTGAACTCACTCGGCCTTGTTTGGATGAAGTTTTTCCTACGTCTGTCTAATTAAGTTCATCTCTAAAGACAGATTTAAATCAGAAATGGAACGACTGTATGTGAAAATCCTGTAGCTACACGGTTCACAGGGAACAGTACACAGAGAGAGTAGCTATCAGACCGGCTGTCAAAATCCTGTCAGTTTGAAACGCTTTAGCCCGCAGCTCGTCTGAGGCTCCTGAGGCCAAGTTTACAACCACAGCACATTCCGCGTAAACCAGCTTCACAACCGGCGACATTCAGAGCTTTTTACATTTTGGACTTTGATTAAACGATTTATAAACTGAAGTATCGCCCACACTCAGAGAAAAGAGCTCTATTAAGAAAAGGTAAAGGTTCTTTTGCTTGTAACAGCAGCACTTTTGCTTGTAAGCAGTGGAACCCTTTCTGGTGCCAGAAGCAATTTTTAAAAGGTTGTGTAACCACTTAAACTGCTGTATTATTATTATTATTATTATGATTATTATTAGTATTATGATTATTATTATGATTATTATTATGATTATTATGATGATGATGATTATGAGGAGGAGGAGGGCACGGTGGTGCAGTGGGTAGCGATGTCGCCTCACAGCAAGAATGGCCTGGGTTTGATTCCCGGCTGGGCGAGCAGGGTCATTTCTGTGTGGAGTTTGCCTGTTCTCCCCGTGTCTGCGTGGGTTTCCTCCCACAGTCCACAAACATGCAGTCAGGCCAGTTGGACGTGCTAAATTGCCCCTAAGTGTGAGTGAATGTGTATGTCTGTCTGCCCTGCGATGGACTGGCGACCTGTCCAGGGTGTATCCTGCCCTTCTGCCCAGTGACATCTGGGATAGGCCCCAGCACCCCACCGTGACCCAGAAGGATAAGCGGTTTAGACGATGTATGTATGTATGTACGTATTATTATTATTCGAAAAACGTATACTTATTATTATTAGTATTAACTAGTGGCGTCAGAGATTTATGGATGTGGGGTTAAGCCTTTACTTAAGGGGGTCTGGGGGGCATGGTCCCCCAGGAGAATGTTTTTAAGGGCCCCAAAATGTCTGCTCATCATGAACTTTTAGAGAAGCAATAGGCAGAAAATGTATCAAAAAGGCTATTTGGTCAAGCGGGCACACAGAAGATCTGTTTCTTCATAGTGAATTAAACCCAGATCTTTTATGACTTAAATATTGTCTGTCCCTCTGCACAGATCACAGACCAAACAAAGGTATTAAAGTCAATGCCATCTCCTCTCCTGTAGATAAGACACCAATCCTAAATATGCTATTCAAACACACTGGTGTAGACTGGTACAGTCTCAGTTTGTGCAGACAGACAGTGTGATTGTGTTCTGTAGTTGCACATGTTTAGTCTAGGTGACGCACTCATAGTGACATTTAACAGCACAAAAATTATGTTTTCTTAATTTTTAAAATTTAATCTCACAAATGAGGATATATTAAGGAAAAAACAATTTCTACAAATTCAGTATTAATTTTAGCTGAAAGCTTAAACACTCATTTGCTTTGTTCTTGATCACTGTCCTTTATCAAACCTGCAAAAGTCTTCTCACCTGACTGGCCTGCTACAGAGCTGCGGCCTCCCAATTACCATCTACAGACTGAGGAATTTAGAGAATAAAACTGCACTGCCATCAACACAACACCAGTGTATATAGTGAAAAGAATTTATAGCTAATACCACTGATGATTGTTTGGAAATACTGAATAGAAATACAAAAAAAACTGTAAAAGCTCTTGAAATGATTAAAATGTTAGCGAATATTTGTGTCTCATGGCTGATCTCCTTTTCTTTACCTCACATGAACTTAAAGTAAGCTAACAAGAAACTGGCTGAAAACTCAATAGCCCGTATATATATATAGTGTATGTATACGCTCACAACTTCAGCAGTTGCCACCTGACATTATTTCGCAGAGTGAGTAACAGCGCAGCCCTGATTGGCTTACAATTTACAAGGATATGATTGGGTGAGCCAGTGTTACACTTTTTCCCAATGCTAAACAGCAGAGGATTTCCGTCAGAGCTGGTTTATGAGGAGTCTGGCCATTTCCTATTTCCCCCATTATTTCCCCTGTGCTTGCTCGCGAGTCCTCAATGAATGGGAGTAAATATAGCTAAACGGCTAAAAACAAAAAGTTAAAATATTTTCTAATCACTTGCCCAGAACTTTCCTTAATTTTTGGAAAGTAGAAGGATGTATTTCACTAAAAAAATCAAAGAAAACATGCCTGTATATTTCCTTTTTTCTACAGCAAACTGTTTTGGGGCAGTACAATGCTAGCATTACTGTTACTAAGTGCTGATTGGTTGACGAGCGGAGCAGCTCATTGGCTGCTCACACTCACTGACATCCTGGACGCACATTAGGTGCCGTTTTAAACTGTTATAAGACTTTAAAAGTTCTTAGAAATATAACAGCAGTGTTAAAATGTTTTATGCTATTCAGTGTTCAGGAAGTGATTATATTCTTTTACATTAAAAGTGTTAAGGCATTTATAAACTATGATTTTGCTCGAATGCTCCATCTTAATGGCAATTCATTTTGGACTCGCTCGGGAGCGCCCTCTAGAGTTTGAGAAACCCAGAAGACATTACAGAGTGGTAATTCTCTCTACAAGTTCCATGATTTCCGTCTCCTGTGGTTATGTTAGTAAATCTAAATCACTGGTAGCACTGCAGCAGCAGCGCCTCCCCAGTTCATGCCCAGCTATCACAGTTTATCATGAATTTGGAGACACGATGGCACAGTTGAAAAATAAAGAATAAATGCAAAACATTGTTGATGATTTGAATTAATAATGTACATTCATTTGGGGGAAGCTAAATATGTTTATTTTATTCAGGCTAAAGTCCCCTAAAACTAGCCTAGCGACACCCCTGCTATGAACTTAAGATACTTAAAATTTATTATTTAGTAACTACTATGAATTATTTAGTAATTACTATGGATCTAATGTGTATGTTATGCACAGGACTGTGCAAAAGACAGAAACCATCTTTCATTTATTTCATTTCCAGTCATGTGTATATTTTTGGGATTACTTGGATTGTGAGAAGCAGAAAATGCAACCTGTGAGGACCCCCTTTTTCTTTTTTACTTTTTTAGCAGATTCCATGTGAAAAAATACTACATTACAATGTTTTCTATAGTAACAATAGTGTTTAGTATAGTTCGGTGTATCATACTGTTTTTTCTGCAATGTACCATATTTTCTTGTGTGGGTTGTGCACTATTGAAAGTCTCAGAAGCAGATAGAAAAGAGCTTGTTATACAGTGGCCTTTGTTCAGGGTATGACGGTCTTTTGGTACATAATGTCCAGAACTCTTATAGTTATTTCTCGATGTGATTTGCTGTTTTGCCTCTTGTAGTAACGGCTGTCTTTTCTGTTCTCTCTACAGGGCATCGCTCAGCAGGCTTAAGAATAATGAACCCACTCAGAAACGTAGCCCATCTGAACCTATAGCCTCAAAATAGACGCTTCTAGACACGTGTAGTGGTCAGAATGGAGCACAAAATGTAGCTGCAAGCCTGGACCTTTTCGTTGTTGTCTTTGACCTTGTATCAGTTGTCTATTCTCATGTCCCGTTGTCATTGTTTATTTGATGTCACAGGGCACAGAGTGGAGCAAGTATGATGAGCGCCTACTGAGAGCGGTGGAGATCGGCGACACAGACAAAGTTACTGCCACACTCAAGAAAGGAGCCGTCCCCACTAGACTAGATGCTGAAGGCTGCTCTGCGTGAGTGCTGTCCTCAAGTGACCTCTACAAGCACACACAAGCCTGTTTATTCTTTCACCCCGCTCTCCATGAATCAGTCTATCTGACGCATTCCATCCAATCTGATGAATTAAACATTGCCTGGACATGTTTACCACTCACTTCATTGTAAAGAGTAAAAATGGAGAAGGCAAGTGATAATACAGTCTCAGAATCACATTTACAGTCCTCTGTGGGACGGGTACATTAGTATTCCTGTGCCATCTCTTCGGGCGAGGATAGGTTTGTCACTGTAATTTGCAATTTGGATTCTCAGCATACGACTCTCTCTCCTTCAGTGCTCGGTCTCCCTCTCCATTTGTTACACATCTCTCACCACCAACATATGCTTTTTAATAAAAGTGCAAATACCCAGCTACGGCCTGAGTGGGCTTATAGTGATAGGTTTTATTTTTGCTTCATCTACCCCCCCGCCATGCTAAGGGCCTCGATACCTCTGAAGTTCACAGCGGCATCTTCCTCTGCAGCATCCTTCCTTTGAATATGAAGTAGGGGAGCTGTCGTAGCTGCGGAGTTGTCAGATGACTTTTGTTCTGCATGCTGAAAATGCTGAGATGATGCGGACATTGTTTCAGGCTGAAGCAAAGAATATTCCCAGCCTTTAGCCTGTTCTTCAGTGGTGCAGTATGGCAGAAAACTGCCTGTATCCAGCATAAAAAAACATATTTAATTCTAAAATATATGAAATATTGTTATTTGCCACTAATAATAAGTATATATGAATTGTAATCAAAAGACCTGAACCTACTTGTATAAAACATCTTATGTATTCATCTTAAGATAAATGTTTCAAGGAAAAACTTCTGCACATTTTAATATGCAATTACTGTTTATCTGCTGAATTTAACATATTGGGGAAACAAAAACATAAAATGTGGCCTGTGCAAAAGTTTTGCCACATTTTATATTTTATGTTTTTCATTCTAATTTGTTAAATTCAGCAAATACATAGAAATTGTGCACTAAAATTTGCAGAATAATACCATGTTTAAGTTTGTGTGTTAGATTTCTCTTAGAAAATCAACAAAACATAATTTGACTGGGGGTTTTCAAACTTTTACACATGACTGTGTAAGTGAATTTGAATTTTGTAACTGTAAAAATCAGAAATAAGTACTGAAACTTAAATGTAGAGTCTAAAATTCTGTTTACAATTACTGATTTGTTTCACATTCTCCACAAATGTTTTGCTGAAGAGATTTTCTGCAGCTCATTTAAGGTAAAAGGGAAAATCTCAAAGCCTAAATTCACTTTAGATGTTTTTTACAAGTGACCACAGGAGATTTTATGAGAAACACTTTTCTGTTATTTTCACAGATCTAATCTTAGTGTGAGCCCACCTCTACCCATACAGACAAGATGAACACATGCTGATTTTAGAGGTTAGATCACTCTGTGGGGAGCTTCCACTTTGGAAACAAAACCACCTTTGTGGTCTTTTGAGAACATTTTGTTGTTGAATTATAATTGAGGTTGACTCACAATGGTCTGCCCTCCTGTAGTCAGATTTAATTATTATAAACAAATGATGGAATGTGGTTTTAAATGCCCATTGATTTCCATCTGTGTCAGTTAGGGGTGTAAAAATGTATCTGTATGTTGTGATGCTTTTTCTGTTGTGATGATTTTCTTCATTAATTAAAACTCATTGCCATACATACCACAAGCAGATGCCAGCAGCAACTCCGTCAACATTCTCAGTCTGTTAATTTGATTTAAGATTCATCTCTGTGCACTGTCTCTCAGTTTCTGATCTGTTTGAGTGGACCTTAACAAACAGTGGCTCACCAGCACAGTGGGCTGGCCCTGTTCCTCACAACAGGAAGCTGCTGTTAAAGGGAAACATTGATAAGTGGGTGGAGAGGAGAGCTGAGTGGTCTTCTAAGCACATGCTGAAGGTAGCTGTTTGATCTTCAGAGGAGAATAGAGAAAGGTAGAGCTATTAGTTTCTAGTCTCCCCTTACTTACTTCTCTAGAATGGATGGGTAGGTGGATGCTGGTGTGCAGAAAACCTTTCTTCCCTCTGCATGTCCTTTTCAACAAGGAGACACACTGTTTGTGCTTCTGCTGGCTGCTTATTCATCCAGCTGATGGCACCTTTCATCTGTTTTCCTTTTCTTTCTCACTGTGACATTGTACATCCTTTAAAGCCACGACCTTCTTTCTGTAAGGGTGGGTGATATGACAAAAATGTGACTGACGAACAGTGACCATTAGAACTAGGCCTTCAGTTCAAGCCATAAATGTCAAAACACAGTCAAAACAATGAGAGAAAACACCTCTACATTAATACTGATTTCTGCGAGTGTTCCCTGTGAGAGTTCTAGTAGTACGTTAGCGCTAAGCTAACACTGGTGCACAGAGACTTCAAACTTGTAGAAGACGTTCCATATGTTAATGTCTTTTTTATCTTGTGTCTTCCAGTTTTAGTGTTTCTTTCAGAGACCATGGTTAGGCTACCGCTTGTATTCACAGTTAATGACGTATCTAGAACTTCCAAAAGACCTAGTGTTGTTTGTTCTTACCAAATTGGGCCCACCTATTGTATATCAGAAAGTGACTGGTTCCACTGCTGTTTCCCAATTATATATTCCCACTGCACTTTCAAACATGTTAGGTCACGTTTACACAGCAGAGCATATTCTACCCAAAGCACCAAAATAACATAGAGCAGATTCCGTTCTTTCCGCCATGGAACATGCTTTTCCGATTTGAAAAATGTTACTTCGGCAGAAAAGCACTGCTCATCATATGCCACTTTTTACAAAGTAACCAATTAAAAAAGACAGTCTTTTACGTCCAAGCGTTGAGTGCTGTGCATACTGTGAGTGCTGTGAAGGCAGCTTGCCACAGACATGAGCAGTGAGCGCAGCACTTACCTTGTCCAGTGTGAAAGATGCTTAAAGCCTTTAAGTGTAGTTCTCAAAGCCCTAACCAATGAGAGAGCTCACTTGATTGTGTTTACTTACATACTACAGAGACAAAAATCCAGATTTGATCATTGTCTGTTGGGTATTTAAAGGTTTTAACCTAATTGATTGGTTTCCAACCAAAATTTAATAGTAAAATAAGAGTATTATTACAAATCTTTTAGTTGCCAGAAATCATTAGACTAAGAAAACTAAAAGGCCACACTGACGATACTTGAAGACATTTTCACGATACACAATATGTATCCAGTTGCTTTTATATATTTTAACATACCTCCATATAATTTTTTTAAAAAAGCAAAAAAAATTGAAATACAATAACAAGGAAATTGAACTTCTGAGATAAAATTCAGGGCAATAGTGAATTATTCTAACATTTTGTGTAAGATACTATTAATACAGACAGTATTTCATCGAAAAAGAACATAATAAAAAATCTGTAACACAATCGACAATTATTTAGTATTTCATTAGCTGTTCATGCAGATTGACCGAATGAACGAATGACCCCTTGACTACCACAGAGAGCTCGATTCAGTTCATTATTAAACCTTTCTGCTTCAGAGCCAAATTAAGCAGGTTAGAGAAGGTAAACAATGCTGTGCTAGTAACCCAGGACTGAGGTTGGGAAACACTGTTACAGCATTTGTTAAAAATACAGGCCTCATACAGCATAAACATTTTTAGCATGCAAAAATACAATACATGGCCTTGGTTTCAGACCTTTGCATTGTTTACCTTTGAAAAGAGTATGAAAATGATATTGTGTGTCGCTGACGTTGAGGCTGAAATGATCTGAAAATGATACTGTAGCTGAGACATGTAAGAGCTTTCTGTTTGCCTTCCTGTTAGCACATTTGATGACCTGTGAGAGGGTAGATGATCAGTTTGTTTTCCTAGGTCTCCTGAAGTCATCCATCTGTCTTTCTCAGAGCCGGCTTCCCACACTTAGATTAAGGCTGGGTCTGGATTCTTTAATGATGAATCACTAGTGAAAAGGATGAGGACAAGACTTGATCGTTTGTTTTAGGAATCTTCATCAATGGATCAATTATTTACTCACCGTATTTGTTATTTGTTCATGAGGTTAGGTGAAATGAATTATGTATCATGAATTCCATATGTTTCTTATTGCATAGTTCATAAATACTGCTTTGTTTACCTAAAATTATTCCTTGTTACCTAATGTTCTGTTCAAGTCAAGTGGTCTTTGTCATTCCTCAATAAAACTTGTATACACTGAAAAGAAACGTCATTCTTCAGGCCCCATAGTGCCACACACAGCAGCACATTACCAAGGACTACATAAAGTGCAGATACACCACACTGTGAATGAAACAAGTGCACAATGTGCAGTAAATACACCACACAATAAATGTCCAGGAAAAAATAAATACACAGAACAATTATGAAACCAGAGTCGTAACTTCAATTGCTTCATAGTTATAAAAATGAAACACAAAAACATCCATAGTTCACTAAATTAAATCAGTTTTAGTCATTTACATTAATTGAGGGATATAAACTCATGCATTCTCATTCTTTCAATGCAGGTTTCATCTAGCAGCCAGCAAGGGATTAATAAATAGTCTCAATATTTTCCTTGGCCATGGCGTCAACCTGCATGCAACAGATGCTTCCGGTAAGACCCGTTCTTTGATTTTTAGGGCACTTTTATCACCTTTGAAAGTTGAATGCAAATTGTCCTGCTTCAATACACGTCACCACTGCTGTTTCATTCTCATTCTCTGTTCTGTCTCTGTAGGTAAAACAGCGCTGCATCTTTCTGCAGGAGGTGGTCATTCTGCCTGTGTTCAGAGACTACTACAGGTACTGCAGGCTTTACTTTCACTTGCTAACAATCACAGGAAGAAAAGGCCCGCGAGGCAGCCACCCTGGAATTACAAATTATTGATGTACCATGTGTGCTGTGAAAACAGCCCCAGCCCTTTCCAAAGCCTGTTGAACAAGACGTAATGACACAAACTGTTTTGTTCTCTGTTCTCCTTTGCTCCATATAGTCTTTGTTCATTTCTGTGCTTCCCACTCCTTTTGTTCCTTTACATAAAACACTTGGGGTGAGGCAAGGTTAGAAAGGCTTTTTTTGTGCCTTAGCATCAGTGCCTCAGTATACAGTACACATCAAGAAATAATAACAGAGCTTTTTCACTGGGTGAAAAGTGCTAGCCTTGGTTAAAGCTACACTTAGTTAAAATTGAAAGAAGTAGAATTACTGAGTCAAGGGGGGAAAAACATGCTAAATTATTGGTGTGTTCACTGCTGCGTAAAAATGTAAAAGTCAGAGGCATCAGATTTCACATACATTGTACATCTTTACGAATTAACGTCACACGCGCAGTGTCAAAAAGAAGGTCCAGCTTAATGTTCAGGTCTCAAATGCAAAATCAGCATTTTACTGATGAAGACAGGATGACAATAGTAGGTAATTCACTTGCAACCTTCACTGGGATCTCTTTGAATACTCCTTCAACCCACTTGCAGTCATCAGATTCATCAGCTTGGGGAAGGGGTACGAAGCACAACCCACGTTATGAAACGTTCTTATACGCATTGCATGCAATTGCACATATCCACCAAAGAGGTCTCCAAACCCTCAAAACATACATGATGCTGTTAAAGATAGTTCTGTACTAAAGTATGTTGTGTAGCTAAAAACAGTAGTTCACATTGAAGCCTGGATCATGTCTGTACATTCATTATTATAGACAGCAGTGCAATACAGTTCCGGAAACCATATAAACAAGTCTGTTTGAGATGTTTACAGATGTTTTTAACAATTTAAGGAGGTTAATTTAGGGGGTTCACACAAGTTCAGCTCAGGGTGACCGTTCAGTGACCGTTGTAATGGAGGAGAGATTAGGGGTTGCAGTCTTTCACTGATACAAATCATGACAAACAAAAAGCAGCTTATTTTTAGCTTTTTTGCTGGCTGCACCATGTTTTCTATTATTAGTAGTAGTTAAACTTTCTGATGGTATATATAGAAATGACAGCTTGCTAGCTTAGCTGACAGTTACAAGGCTGCTGTTGCCTAGCAGCGGGAAACATGCAGTAATGATAACCTTTACAGAAAAAAACACATGAAATTCACACATGAATCAATGCATGTTTTATATACATGTTATTTTTCACATACATGTAAAAAATGTGTGAAAAATCTGTGATCACATACAAAAACGTGATCACGTGTGCATGTCAGGGAATGAAATATCACGTGAACACATATTTATCTGATGTTACATATGTTTACTTGTGAACACATGGTTTTCACATGTGAAATATATGTGACATTTTTGTCAGGAAAGAAAAAACATCCAAGAACAAAAAGAGCAACGTGCATCTGTTTTTTTCCACCGCCAGAAAAAAACTGTGTGAACTCCTCCTAAGGTGTGCAGTATCCACAGTGCTAATTGATGGGATATAAGCTTTACTCACTTACTTAATTAGTTGCTACCTACATTAGCCTTGTAGCTACAGTGGAAAAGTAGAGAAGCAAATATTGGACACCAAACATCTCATAACCACATTTGGGGTAATGGAAAAATTGTGTAAATCAGATTTTTTTTGCCAAATGATTGCTTTAACCATCATCATTCCTTTACAAGTTCTTTAAAAATGACGGTTTTTTTACATTTTGACTTTTGTAGTGTAAAAGTCCTGTTGATAGCACAGATCTACAGGGGAGAACAGCTCTGCATGATGCAGGTGAGGAGAACTCCATCTCTGAGATCTTTTTTAGAAAAACAGCATCACCTCTGATCCCTCTGCATTATTCCAGCATAGCCTGCACAACAACCTGATCTTTATTCATGTCTCCATTCCCAAGTAGACCTATTATAAATTGCAAATTCTGTATTCTATCTAGGGTGCAGTGTTTACTGTGCCGTGTTCTACAAGTAATTGGCACCCAAAAGAGCAACACTCTCTTATAATTCTGTGACAAAATGAGCAGGTCATGTGGGTATCTTCACATTACAAATAGGTGCTATCACTAAAACATCAACCAGCCAGCAACACTGCTGTGTCTGATCCACTCATGCCAGCGCAACACGCACAAACGGTGCGGTTCTGAGAATGATCCACCACCCAAATAATACCTGCTCTGTGGTGGTCCCATGGGGGTCCTGACTATTGAAGAACAAGGTAAAAGGGGGCTAAAGGGGAGGTGATAAAATGAACAGTGAGTATAGAAACAAGGAGGTGTACTTAAGGTGGCCGGTTAGTGTATGTGTTTGTTTCCGAATGGCTCTGTGATTTTAGTGAACAGGCAGAGCATGTTCATTTCTTTAGACAGTAACGAGAAAAGGTCAACAAGGTTTAAAGAAATGTTTCACCAAAACAGTTTTTCTGCTAATCTAAAACACTGTCAGTCAGCCAAGACATGTTTGGAGTCTTCTTTAGTTTTGCAATGGAACTTTAAAGCTGATAGATTTTGGGTGATAAAGACTTCCATTACTTGTTAGCTACACTAGCCTTGAAGCTCCAGTGCAGAACTAAAGAAACAAATTTCAGAAACCAAACATGCCACGGCTGATTGACTACATATAAGGAAAGGGGGAAACCCTGTTAACCTGATTTTTCGGTCAACCGTTTGTTTAACCTGTTCACAGTAGTCTATTTGGTCAGTGATTTGCAAAAGTGTGGGTGGCTACACAGATTAGAGTAAAAAAAAACAAGCACATTCATGGCGCTGCCTGAATGATAGCAGTGAAAAATCAATGAATAGCAGATGTATGAGCAACACAATGATGTGCCTTTATGTGATTTATGGATTTAATCTAGTGTAGTAATTACCAGCACGATCAGATGTCCAGTGGTCTCATGGATGTGCCTCCAAATTCTCATCTCTCACGGGTGCAGTGGTGAGAAAATCAAGTCTGACAGGTAGTTTAGAAATGATTAATACCTGCTCCATCTCTTCACTGTTCTGCCTGAGCGCTCATGTTAAAATATATTGACTTCTAGAAATCCTGCAAACCCATTAAACCTGAATTAACACCTGAATTCACACAAATGTACATCATTAATAGCAAACTCAACTCCTGCTCCTTTCTCGTAGAAGATCGTTTAGAGACCATGACAAAATGCAGCTATGCTGTGCTATAGTAAGAACTATACACCGTCTGTATGGCAGAGTGTCTGTGGAATTATAGTAGCATGATTATTATTTCCTTTTTTTTCCAGCATATGCAGGTCACAGTACCATAATCAAAATGCTTTGTGACAGTGGTGCATCTGTCAGTGCCCTTGACACAGTAAGTACAGAGCTTCTTGTTTCTTATTTAATGATTTTATGTATGTGCTTATGTTGTCAAGCATTTTGCTATGAAAGGGGGCCTACCCACCAAAATGAATTAAAAAAAACATTGCTATGTCTGTTGTAAATGTGCCTACTCGTTTCCTACAGTAGTGCCAGAACAGTCTTGAGAGTGAGTTCTGGTTTTAAGACTAGGTAAACCCCCTTCTGATGATGTTTCCTGTAGGTAAAAAGGAACTTTTGAAAAACTACAAGCGCTTTGGGAAGGATATTTGAGGGCAGGCTGATTTTTTTTTTTCCTTTCTGGCTGGCAAATGCAGAAGCTCGTTACTATATCACTGCTCGTAAGCCGAATATGACATTTATATTTATTAGCCTCTACATGAGTGGTACATCACTGGGTTTGTTCTATCACTGTAGGGAAAAATCCCAGTGGTTGTATTTGCATAATGCATGCTGGGTACTGTAGTTGGAGAACACTGATGGACAAAAACGGAAAAAAGGATTCAAAACTGTGATTTCTGTCAAACAGATGAGGCTGAGGGACGCATTGCTGTGCTAAGGAGTTTTACATAAAATGACACATAATAAATTATATGTTAGTTTTAGGCCAGAATGCCCTTTAACTTCGCTCAGCTGAGCAAGGAATTACACCCAGATGACTTGAAATCTGTTACAAATTAATAACTCCCAGATCAGACTGCCTTACTCCTACACAAGGAAGCGTCCACATGTAGCATTTTCTGCAATTCTAAAGAAAATAATGATAAGATGTTGAAAGGACAGAGACATAGTCCTGCCATAGAAGGTCTGTATCCTTTAGTGCTTTACCTAAAGAGCAAAAACATCTGGTTTCCAGAGTGGTACCTTAAAGCAGTGAGGCACGTTTGATCATAGCAAATGCGTGTCTGAATTTGTTCATGCTTGATGACTTATCCCTGAGATGTAAAGAACAGCACAAAGAAAAATCTCTGTAAGGAGAGATCCACGCTTTTTCCATCAGTCTGTTTCAGTCTGATTGTGCACTTGGCTGCTGCTGAAATTGTTCTGTGCTTTTATTGGTTTTTACCTCGTACTGTCCTCACTCTGCTTTGATAGAAGCATGGACCTCTTTCTAGCTGGCTGTGTTTATAAGGAGGCAGTTTCATGTATTTTTCAGAGACATCAGGTTTACAGGCAATCAACACTGAAAAGGTTAAAGGGGCGTATCCATACTCATGAACAAAGTAGCAGTCTGTTAAGGTCTAAACACAAAAATGGGAAGCAATCCAGCAGTACTAAAGCAACTACCATTGAGTGAAAATAACTGAACAGAAACAAGTGAAAACTGTAATAGTCCAGGGAGAAGTGAAAACCTGGAGACTAAGCCAGGGTCAGGAATGTTCGGGCAAAAGCAGAGATGGAAGCCTGAACTGATAGCGCAAACCTCCCAGGGTGGACATATGTACACAGATTAAAGGCCAGATATAGAACAGATGAGGTTAATGGATCCGAGGGGCAGGGATGGAGATGAGAAGAGTGGGGTCAGTAGAAACTGAAGTCTAAAGAACAGGGTCAATGAGATGGCCAGCAGCAGCAGTAATGGAAATCTGACTTGCAGGGTTAACATCGTTGTAGGTCCAGTCAGCATAAACCACAGGACTTTGTGTCTTCTCTGTTAATCTAAAATACCAAGTCAGAGAAGAACCAGACAGAGGGGTAGAAGAAGACCAGATAGAGCAGTTGAACAAGAAGGGATTACCACTCTTTCTCAGGCAGTGGAAAGTCTGACTTGCTCTAAGGGTCCATTTTGGGGGCACCAGGCAAGACTGCGTCCACTGGCTTTCCAACTGATGTTTGGGGGCAGAATAGTGTGCTTCAGGATGCCAGGTGGCACGGTCAGGATTGCTGTACCAAGGGCCAGAAAGACAAGATCTCTGAACGCCAGATGAGCTCAAGCATCAGAGAAATGTTGTGGCTTTGGCAGTGGAGTCAGGAGATACTGGTGCTGGGTCAGTGGAGGATGGGACTGGAGAAACCATAGAGATAATAAGAGCAAGTGATTCTGAGATCACAGAAGCTGGAGCCACTAAAGTCATGGGAATAGAGGCAGGAACTACATGTGAGGCAACAGACGGAGAAGCAAAGGCAGAAGACAGGGATAAAGAAGTTGCTGTGGATGTAGTAGACTCCAGGGAGAAAGGCTGGAGATGCCGACAATAAGTCAGCTTTCCTACCCGTAAACACTTCACTTAGGCATTTAAGACTGACTGTACACTTTTCAGACCCCACTTCCTCGTATAAAGACATCAAATTTTGGCATCCTTGTGCCCTGTATGTTATTTTATCAACTTGGACATGTTTTCAAAAAATATTGGTGAACTCCACAGTATGAATACTGATGGGAATAGGCAATTTTTTTTGCTGTTGGTCCTTTGTTTTAAATGCACAGGTCCTTCTGAAAGTTGCAATTTGCAACTTACTTGCTTTTTATACCCATGCCAGTTACTTACTTTTTATACTTTATAAATGATACAAGAAAATAAACCCACTGTCCTCATACAAGGACACTGTCAGAAACTGCTTCACGGATGTTGTTAATTTTACATAGATAGCAGGTGCTACTAGTTACAAATAACAAGGAGAAATAAAAACAATACAACATAATATAGTTAGGATGCTACTGGAGCATGGAGACTGAACTGAAATAATCTCTTCTCAGAGGGCTTCATGCTGGCTTCCCTCTATGCTGGATGGTCAAATATTGTGTTAAGATAAAGGCGTAAATCTCATAAAAATTATATTAGATTACAATTATTTATGCCATAGCCCACTCTTGTGCTCTCCCACTGAGCTGTGATATTATAAAGTCCACCTTAGCCTCATTTAATGAAGGGAGTCCTTCCATGTATGAGAAAGAACAAAACTGAAGAGGTCAAGGGCAGGCTTTGTGACTGGAATGACAGGCACCCGAGGATATAGTGGCTTTCCAGCAGTCTGAATGGGACTGGATGCAGTGGAGGACAGGTTGTAATCTCCTGATGGACACGCTTTACCATACTAGCTTGCGTTGTTTGTTTATGCCCAACTTCAAACCAACCTGTCTTCCTACAGTATACACAATGCATCCATGGTAAGCTGTGGAGCTGCCTGGATTGGTGTGGAGGCTCTTAGCACCAGCAACACTAGCAAACATTCCTTAGTATACCTTTAAACAATAGTACCATTTTCCAACCACAATGTTGACAAATGGTTGTTTTTACTATATTTCTGTCCTTCTCAGGATGGCCGGTCTCCACTGTTACTAGCAGCACAGACGTCTCATTCTCGAGCATGCCAGCAACTGCTGCTGTACGGGGCATCCACCACCCTCAGAGACAAACAAAATAAGTATGTAATTTTCTCTCTTTTCTTATTTTTCATTATAAAATAATTCAGATATGCTTTGACCTCGCTGTGGTCTGTAGATAGATGGAGTTTATTACAGAAGGCATGGTGATAAAAACAGAAAGCAGTGATAAGTTCATTTTTTTAGCTGTATTAAATTGAAAATAGGATAAATGACATTTGATGTTTTACCATCACCTTTCCTTTTAACAGCAGTTAATAATCATTTGAGTACTGAAGACATGAAGTGATCAATTTTTTTGAAAGCGGAATATTTTGCTATTTTCCCGCTTTGTCAGTCTTCAACCACGCAACTGTACTAGGCTTTTTTTGTATTCTGCACTTCATAATGCAGGTAGGCCAGTCTAGCACCTGCACTAATTACACAGCCATGCTGTTGTAGCAACACTTGCCATTATCATGTTGAAATAAGTACGGACATCCATTAAAAAAGTAATCTAGTAGGCAGCATGTTACTCCAAAATGTGTACACTGTAAAAAATGATTCAGTATTTTAACATAAAAAGTAATTAACCTGGTTGCTTTAAAATGTTGATTTCATTGAACGTCTAATAGTAAATTGACAGAACAAAACTGTGTTGTACATTCTATTAACTTATTATTTGAAGTTCAGTGAACACAAAATTTTAAGGCAACCAGGTTACTTACTTTTTTAAGTTAATCATTTTTTGCAGTGTTTATATCTTTCAGTGTTATATCTTATTTTGCCATTTCACATGAGAGCAAGCCAAGAGAAGTTGGCGGTGTTTTTGAACATTTTTGACGTATGGCTTCTGCTGTGCATAGTAATTTTAAAAGTGTTTATTGACAACGGTTTGTCAAAGTATTCTCTATTCATCACAAGAGCATGCTGGTTGTTAATGCAGTGCCGTCTGAGGGATCGAAGGTCACTGATGGTACTTGCCTGTTACACACAGATATTTCACCAAATTTCCTGAATCTTTTGATGATATTGTGCACTGTACAAGGTAAAAAACCTAAAATAATTGCTTGTGGATTATTCACTAACACATGTTTTGCCAAAAAGCCGAGCCTCGACCCATCCTTTCCTGGATGCTCCTTGTATTCCCAAGCATAACTACTGTTTAAGATTTTTTTTTACATTTCACAACTTTCCAAGTCTTAAGTTACCATGTCCCAACTTTTTTGTAATGTTACAGGCATTGATTTTGGAATGAGCCTATATTTGTAAAAATCAATGACGTTGATAATGGAAAACATTAAATATCTTATCTTTAATTGTTAAATATCTTGGGAGCCATGAATAAGTATTTTTGACCATTAACACAAAAATCAGTCAATCCTACTAGCAGTGATGAAAAAAGTCATGTGGAAGTCATTTCTACTGATATATGTAGCTCCATTCATTGATAATCCACAGGCAAACAGTGACAGACAGTCAAGGGCAATTGCTGCTTGAGACTTTGTGCATCCAAGCATTCAAAGTGAGGCACAACTGCTGAAATATTCACTTGGTGTTGTTGTTAGAGCACTGCTGCCAAGAAAACGAAATATTTAAATTGCATTACAGCCTTTTATTGGTAGGGTGTCTGTTTATATGAAGTCATTACTCATGGGGGTCTTAGAAAACAAGGTTAAGGTCAGGGCAGTGTTGTCTGATGTGCTCCTGAAAGAGTGAACAACGGGCCTGCGGCGAATGGGCAAGACTAAATTCTTGATCACGTTCATGGCTTCTGTAAGGGTCTTTGCTGGGGGCTCTCTCTCTCTGTAATGTACTGTTCTCAGTATGTTTGTATGGATATCCGTAGGACTGCGCTGATCTTGGCTTGTGAGCATCCTTGTCGTGAAGTGGTGGAGGTCTTGCTGAAGAATAAGGCAGACGTTACCGCTGTGGACCTCTACGGCCATGACCCTTACCACTATGCCCAGCTTAGTAACGACGAAGCCCTGATCACAATGATTAAACAAGCCTTGGAGGCGGCCAGCAAGGGTGAGTCATTTTCTCCTCTAAATCCAGCGGCAGCTTTGAAATGGGGAAGAAGGTTTCTATCTGAGAGATTTGAGGGGACAAAGAAGATTTTATTCTAACCTTGACCATACTGCTTCTCCCAGGACTTGACTGCATAGGCTGTGTATCAGTCACACTATATGCTCTCACTACTTGCAAGTGTTGGAGAGCCATTTTAGAGCAGAGGTGGTTTACTGAAGACTTTGATCAGGGCCAGGTACTGCATACAAATTGTCAGAAACCAGCGTGCAGCTGCCTCTGAGGGCAAGACAGAAGCATTGAAGCATAGCCTGAGGGCCTCAGAAGCAGCCGTGGCCTTTAAAGCTTTGTTTTCTCATTAAGCGAAAGTACATCAGCGCTTCATGCTGGAAAGAAATCAATTCTTGAAGATCCAAGATCTTCAATACAGATGACCTGACCTGACGTTTGCCACAGTTCTGCCAGTTTTTTCAGAACATTCTGGGTGTGTGCATGGCAAGTGTTGCGTTCTGTCAGAAGTTGTTAGCACTTGCCTGAGAATGACTTCATTAAAGGGCAAACATGAGGATTTCTATTCATTTGTCTGGCTTACATATGACCTCTAGGTTATAAGCGAATCCAATACATGCATCTCTTCTCAGGTACCATTACAATGTATTTTTCAAGCTCTGCTTTTAACCACACCATGAAAAAGAAGACTGGATGAGAGCTGCAGCCACAGATTACATTAATTGTGTATGATCCTGACTCCTGAATTGATCATCACAGACACCATGTGGGAGATTACGGTCTATAAAGTGCACACATAGCAAATAAAGATTTAAAAACACATCAAAAATATAATAGATTTGGTTTAGAATTGGCCTCAAACATTCGCTTATTGGTAAATACATTACTATCTCTTTCTGTCTACAGCTCAGGACGCTGCTAAGACTGCGCAAAAAATACAGCAGCAGGTAAGGATGGATGTTAAATGTCAAAGACGTATACTGCGCTCAGTGAAATATGGTTTGTGTTCACAGTTTTAAATAATTTAATGATCTTACAAAGTCAAACTGGATATTTGACATGCCTCCCTGGAAGCGTTAGCTCCCAAAAGTAAATAATTCTGTGCTCACATCCTGAATCTAAACAAAAGCCTGCTTCTCATGCCAACCGCTTGTGTCTGTTAATCTTACTGCCACCTAGAGGTTTATTTTATAAGTACTCCGGTGCGGCGCTCCAGTGCCTGGCTGCTTTAGAATGAGTGGTGTTCTGTCTCTGCTGTGTTAAAATCAATAATGAAAATGAAAGTGCCGTGTGTTTTTTTTCTTCAGAGGTCAATGAATGCTGAAGCTCAAGCTCATATGAGGAAGATAACTGCACATGTGAGTAGAATGTTGCCCTTCAGCATCTTAACACCAGCCATTAGGGAATTTGCGTATAATCTCTGTTGCTCACACTTGTTATTGATTTGACCGAACTGGGCAGGGCGTAAATGGAATGGAGCTCTCATAATAGTATCCCATAGGTATCTCGTACGTGTGGCAAAGCAAATTTATTTCCCTAATCTTATTTTTCTATTTCAAGACTGTTTATGTGAAAGAGGTGAAAGGAAATTGTCTTTGAGATATATGCCTATTGATTGATTGTACACATGCATGAATGATGCAAAAGATAACCCAGATCTTAAAATAGAGCATATTTTTATCACATTCAAGCTGGCACCACTACTGTGCTTGAAATTGTTAAGAAGCTTTAAGCTTTATAACTATTGCATTGACACTCTTTTAAAAGGCCCCAGTTAAAGCACCGCCCTCTGGCATCAGCTGGTCCAGTACAGGAGTTGTGAAGCTGGAGAAAGTTCCATCACAGCAGCACTCTGTGAGTTCTTTATTAAGTGGTGTGTAGTACTGATGAAGACTCAGCCACAAGGCAGCTCTTTTCTCTTCGTTGAGTAGCTGTGCTTTATTTGTGCAGCTGTGCTCAGAAAGCCCTCAGTAATGAATGTTCTCTGAATTACAGAGGGAGCACGGCAGCCGCTCTGCAGATGGTAAGTGCTGGTCCTCGGGATTACAATCAATAGCATTCAAGAAGCAAGTAATGGTTGTTATGCTGTTTTGACCATGCCATTTTTGACCATGCTATTTCTTCAAGGAAAAAATGACCCACAGAGTCATCTGGAATCTGCACAGGTACCTAACTTTCCTCTCTCACTGCTCACTAATCTGTGTTCTTTATATATATATATATATATATATATAGCCCATACACGCAGTGTTTGCCGCATCTTTTTCTACGCCAACGCTACAAGATCTTTCATTCTTTTCATGGTACTGAAAATCTGACATCAAACATGATGCCTGATCAGCTACATTTGGAGAATATAGGATAGCAAAACATAAATATCAGCTCGTCATGACAGAAAGGAAAATTTGATGTTGACATTTTCATTCGTAGACTGGCTGTGTATCCCTCAATTCAACTGAAATGTTCTTGAGAATGTAAGACAAATAATCACTTGAGGATTTCTGCTTTTCTGTTCAAACATGCCTCAGGTTAGACACCTCGGCCCTCACTCAGCAGCTCCTGCCTCAGTCGGTTTACCTCCCAGGCCAGTGGAGTTGATGGCTGGTGAGATGGAGGTTCTGAGGAGGGAGTTGTGGGAGGCAAGGCGGAGGCAGGAAGCGGCTGAAGGGGAGGTGCTAAGGCTAGACGCAGCGCTGGGTCTGCGTGCACGAGAGTACGAGGAGCTGAGGAGGAGCAGCGAACGCGCCCTGCAGGACGCCCATGGCCGGGCCTGGGAGCTAGAAGAGGCGCTCGGAGAGGTGCAGCGCAGGATGGCCGGCTCAGAAGCCAGAGTCCGGCAGATGCAGGCCCATCTGGTTGCCGTTCGTGAGAACCTGGTCGAGGAGCTGAGGATGCAGCTGCATGAGGCCCGAGCACACAGGGAAGCGGCTGTAGCCGAGCTGGAGCGAACGCAGGAGGACCTCGGACGGACCCGGAGGGAGTTGGAGGAGCAGAGGGAGCAGCATGGGATGCTTCTTCAGGAGGTGCATAGACTCACAGAGGAGCTGCTGAGCAAGGATGAGCACACAAAAGCCCTCAAGGCTAGCTTGGTGGCTTTGGAGGCTAGAAGAGCTCAGATGGCTTGCAAAGACATACAGACCCCCTTGGAATGGCAGCCCATATTTCCAAAGACCACCATGACAGACCTCACTAGCGAGATTCTTCAAAACGCGATGGATAAGAGGAACTATATCAGTAGAGATGAGCACACAAAGGCACTGAAGGCTAGCTTGGCTGCTGCAGATGACAGGAGAACCGAAATGCACTGCAAGGTGATCCAAACCCCTTTAGAATGGCAGCCTAAATATCCAAAGTCCACCATGACAGATCTCACTAGTGAAACTTTTCAGCGGGAGATGGACAAGAAGGACTACATCAGTATGGAAGAGCACAATTCCATGAGGAGCTCCCTCAGTGCTGCGCTCCAGGGAGCAGAGAGTCGTGCTCAGGAGGCTCTGCTGAGACAGCAACAGGCTGAAGAGGAGAACCAGAGCCTCCTTGCAGAGCTTCAGGAGCAGAAGACGGAGCTGGACACACTACATCAAGCCCTGAAGGCCAGGTTTGTGCCTGTGGCCCTGCTGGAGGAGAAGGAGAGAGAATTGGCTCAGCTCAGGCTGACCCTGAAAGAGATGGAGGAGAGCAGGGATAGGTACCAGAACCTTGGGAAGGCTCAGAGACAGCAAGAGGAAGCCCAGAATCCAAGCAATGCTCCATCTCAGAGTGAGACTCCAGTTTGTGGAACTGCAGAAGAGAAGGGGAAAACAGCTAAAGCAGCCACAGAGTCCTCCATTAATGTGGAGAGCACACCGACACACCCTTTAGAGGGTCAAGACAAGGTTTGAGGATGGCATTAATCGTTTATGTTTCTTCCATTTTTCCTTTTCAAATTATATTGTTCATATTTTGAGTGTGGCTGCCAAACTAAATGTAGAGTGTGGCTGCCAACGTTAAAACTCATTTTGTATTTTAAATATTTTCAATTTGAAATTTTTGTCAATGTAACAAAACTCTTATACTGTCATTTGGAGGTTTTTTTTTACAGGGAACATTATATGTGATGGAGTGATTGTGGTTTACCCTGAGTGTTTTCTGTTCCAGGATGCAGAGTCTGTGGTAGAGGCAGAGGGCCGGAGGGAAGCTAAGGGCGCCTCATCAGCATCAAGTAGCCCCTGTGGACACGCGCAGTCAGACAGCACCAGCCTGCAGGCACACATTAACAGCTTGGAGCAGCAGCTAGTGGTCAGTCAGGTGCAAAACATCGTAGTTTCTCTCTTTAAGCCTTGCCTGTACAACCAGGAGCCTATGCTGTGCTCTGAGCACATACGGTATACATTGTGCTTGAAAACGTTAGGCTGATGTTGCACCTCTGTGTGCTCTGAGGACATAGAGGTACAAATGGTGCTTGAAGAAAGTTAGGCTGATGTTGCTAGCAATTTCATCAGAAACGTCTCGCACGTAAACTGTCTGTAGCGTTCTCTAATTAAGTGTCTGCTTGAGATTGAAAAATGTCTGACTTTTCAAACACAAATACAAACTGCTGGACTGAACCTAGACCATTATTTTTATTCATGAGTAATATTTTCGTTTGTGGGTTTTGTTTCATATTCTTGCATAGTCTCTCACTCACAACCAGCATGATTTGAATAGAATAGACTGAGAGCTGTTTTTTGGGGGTTTTTTTTGAAGAGAAGTGTGAGAAATTGGCAATAATCTGCATTCCCACTGTCAGGCAGTTGGTCGGTAGTGTATTGTGCTGGTGCACACAGGGACATCTTTCGTTCCGCTCCACAGTGCTGGAAATGGGCCGGCAGAGCTCCAGGGGGAATCTTCAGAGATGTAGCCACCTCACCGGGGCTTCCACACCTGCCTGCGTACGCTAGCCTGCTGTCCAGAGACGCCCTAACCTTAGCTGATTTTACGCTAACAATTCATAGCAAGCACTCTACCATTTCAATGATGTGCTGGAGGCTAGCATGAAATTGTCTTGTATTGTGGTGAGGGGCCCACGTTGACTCGAAATGGCTGGCACTAAATTACATTTTTCGAGTGGTCATTGAGATAAAATTACTCTGACAAAAACTTCAGCAACCCAAATGACTTCTCACAGATATTTTCTTATATCAGCTTGAGGTTGAGAGGAAATATGGCCCTGACTTGCTTTGTGTTGGCCATTCTGACTCAAAGAGAAAGACAACTCAATTTCATTCCTTGTATGCCTGATTGTTATGTTTTGTATGTGGTTTTATCCACTGCTTTGGCTCCCAAATGCTCTGAAATTGTGTTTCACATTGTTCTAACCTTTCAGTTGCACAACATTCAGGTGCAAGCTAGATATTTTTAACAAGAACTAAAACAGCTATGTTTGCTTAGTCTCACTCTAAAAATTATGAGAGAAATATAACCTTTAAATTAAGTACATTTAGTCCAAGAAAACAAAAACTTATCAAAAAATAATTATTTTTAATGAAACACATCACATTTATTGCCACCCCTAGAAATGCTTATGAACAAAATGTAACTGAAGGAAGATCCAGGACGAGTCCATCTGAGTGTTCAGGAGCTCCTAAGCAGTCACTCATGACTTCTTGTTTCGCTGGGTTATAAATATGAGGTGACACAGAGGCCAAATTTTGTCAACACAGGAGAGATTAGAGATGACACAAATAAAATAAGTGTGAAAGTGTGTTGATGTTTTTAAGTCAGGCAGTGGATATAAAGAAATAGCTGCATGCATGAAAATACACACATCCACTGTTAAGGCAGTAAACAACCAGAGCTATAGTGAATCTGCCTGGAAGAGGACACAGTGAGGAGGGTGATTAGAAAGGCAAAAATTTCTCCAAAGACCACAGTTGAAGATTTGCAGAAGACGGCTGCATTTTGGGGTCACCAGAGTCTCCAAAACAATTAGATGTCCCCTCCATTCCGTGCCAGAAGTCTTTTCTTTCATCTAATCACAAACATAAGCACCTGTAATTTGCTAGATGCTAAGGGACATGTGAGTGGCATCAGGTTCTGTGGTCAGATGAGACAAAAGTTCAGCTTTTTTGGCAACAAATGCAGTTTTGACGTAAAAAGAAAGATGGTTGTACAGAAAGGAACCTCAATCCGGCCTGCTTGGTTTACATGAAAAGATTTTTGCCAATCCGATTGAATATTCCAATTGTAGATTAAGACCGAGGTGTTTATATGAACTTTACTCAACAATCTGATGGAAAATCTTAATTTCCATGCACACTACAAGTGATCTGAGCCAAAATTACACGCGTGCAATGTAGACGTTACCATGACAACAAGAATCGCGTGTGTCCAGTCAGAGTAAGACGAGCAGCATTTATATTTACCTGTTCTCTGTTTTCAGCTGTCGCGCTTTTGTTTTTAATTACTTTAAAATTATGTCAGACTCAGGAAACTGTACTTCACATGTACTTATTAAAGAAGGCTGAGAGGAAGACATCATGTTCTGAGACACATAAGCTGGACGTCAGTCCCACCGCCGTCTTTTAAAGTTCAAAGTAGAGACTTTGTCTCCTCTGCAGACCAGTTTCTGCTCCCACCATGTTGAACACTCTCGCTATGATGCAAACACACATGCGCAGAACGTATTTAAACTTTCGGATTAGGAATGTAAGTAGACACCGGCGCTTACACGGATATTGTTCTTCTATTTAACAGATTATTTACAGGATTACCCACCTCGTTCAATCAGATAGAAATCGTATTCCGAATGGCCTTGATTGGACTAATCTATTCTGACTGAGGTGTATACATGGACATATTCTATTCCAATTGATCTATTAGTCGGATTATTCAGAATTATCAGGCTGCATGTAAGCGTGGCTACTGTTTAGTATGGTGGAGGAGCTGTGTGTTTTGGAGTTGTTTTTCCTCCAAAAGCCTGGAAACCTTGTTATGATACATGGCATCATGGATACCATAAGAGATTTTAAATGAAAATCTGGCATCTATCTGTGGTATTTAAACTGTTTGGCTTACAATTTAAAATAGTGCATTTAATATAAACACAACCAGGCTAAGAACACCGAGCAATGGGGACATATTTTTCTCATCAGCAAGATGAGAAGGTTTTTGTAAGGACAGGAACTGAACATGTGCAATGAATTATGAAATATTTTATGAAATATATTTTTACTGTCTTTAATTAACTAGGCCTTTTTTCTCTCCTGCTAGGACTCTGAAAGGCGATACAGACAAATTCTGGCTATATATCGCACACGTCTCCTCAACGCAGCACAGGTATGATTTAAAGTCATCCTGCTGTACATTCCCCACTCATTAAATGTTTAATATGAACTTTGACCAAACAACAACTTAACAGCTTCAGATAAGGTTACAGTCATTTGTTTGAACAGTTGTGCTCTATTTTCAGGGCTACATGGATGAGGAAGCCCGTGTGGCACTGCTTCAGATTGCCCAGATGAGACAGGAGTGTGTGTATTAATCATCGCCCATGCATGTGTGTATATGCATGTGTGTATATGATGCACGTGAGTGCTGATTACGTTTCAAGTCACGTGTATTGAACACACAGCACGCCTAACAGATTAAGGTCATGGTTTTTAATTAAGAAACATTTGTGTACTTTATGCTTTTTTATGTACCTTGTGTCAAATTACATGAATGTGTAAACCAATCATGGTTTTGTAATATGCGTAATGATGTGTATAAATGAGTGATCACTCTATAACTTTATAATATAACAAACATTAAAAAAAACAGTATGGTTGGCTTTGATGACCTACTTTAAAGCAAATCTACGTCCAAACTTTATGTATTTAAAAAAACACTTTACATCATTTCCATCACCTTTATAGACCTTTGGGAGATCATTCTGAACTGGCCGTGGTCTTTGATTCAGGCGTCTCAATCAGAGGGCTGTTTCATGTGTTTCCTAATGTTGCTGCTGGACGTGCTGGAGGAGCTGGACTGCCCTCTTGTGGTTTGTGCTGCAAACCAAAATACCTTTTGATGAGAATTCATCCAGGATTTGCATTTGCTTGGCTTTGTGTGTGCACTTTGCTATGAAGCCCACCTTCATGGATTAGTACAGCCTGATGAGTGGAGCTTAATGGGGAGTGTCGTCTGGCTTACTCAACATTTTGTAATAATATGTACTTTGTTCTTTTCCAAGAGTAAGGTACTTCTATAAGATGAACATCAGTGTTTGCACAGTTGATGAAATCTACCCCTTCACCCAGCCCCACAAAAAAGGGGGGTAAAATTGCTGGTATTTTTTAGAGCTAGATCTATTGCGGTTAACCCTCATAGACATTCTCCAGAACCTCTCCCCATGTGGTGTTCATTTAAAGTGTAACCAGAGAAATGATGCTTGTAGCCTTGCCCTCACCTCAACGCAGTCATTCATCTGCACTTTTATTTCTGTTAATAAGATTTATTTTCTACACCGGCCTGGGGTAGCGCTAAGCCCTGCGCTTACTCTCACACCTGCGTGTGTTTTCCATTCCATGGCTGAATGGAGTTATTGTGGCCAATGTGGTTTTATTCATTTTCTTGGCCTGGGCGGCTGCACTGTAGCTACAGTCTGTGAAAGCATGTGATATTATTTAGAAGAACCTTTTGGCAGCGAGACAGTATGTTTTATTTCACTGAAGGCCAGAGATTTTCTGCAGGAAAAAGAAACTTAATACACCATTTAACTTTGAAGCTAAGCCAGCCGCATTCCCCTCCTCCAACCCTTCACCTCAATTTGTTCACTTGAGACCCACTTCCATGCTCAGGCCATTATTGTGAGTCCTGGTTCATATTTAAAAGCAGAGCAAACCACAACATTGGTTTCGAGTTTAGTTCTTTGCGGTCTGATCTGTCTAAGCTGTTCTCAGTAATTATGGTGAACGCCTTTTCAGTGTGCCTGGAGATTTGCCTCTAATCAGATTTCCAGTGCAGTAACCAGAACCACATGGCTGATTTTGGTTTGGTTTTGCTCGTATTATTCAGTGCGCTTAAAGATCACAATGTGGCACTTAACGGCCCCCTAACAAGTGCTGGCTGTAAGTGGCTCCGCCTTTTTCTCGGTATATTATGAAGAGCCTGGGCTTCACTTAGCGCTGTAACTCTCTTTCTTTCTCCACTCAGATCACTGTAAAGAAATGAATCCAAAACATATGAGGCAGCATACATACACTGTTCCAGACTCTTCTTCTTTTACTTTGAAATATTTGCGGAAAATGCTGTTGTTTTTTCCAGGTACAGTTGTTGAATCAGTGTGATTAGTGTTTTCCACATGTAGTGTTTTCTATGCGTTCAAAATGGTCCATTAAGTTCAAGGAATAGTTTGCTGAAAAATCATATTTATATTATTTTCCCCTTAAATCAAATGTAGTCGATCAGCCGAAACATGTCTGATGTCCGAAGTTTGCTTGTTTAGTTTTGCACTGGAGCTGTGAGGCTAATGAACCTAAGAAGTAATGGAAGAATCCCACCAATTAGCAATTATCAGCAAGAGCAGGCATATGCACATAAAAATGCAGGAAATGCTCTCACTGCATTTTCCCTGAAGACTAGATTAAAAGTAAAGCAGAAATGGATCGATTCACTGCTGTGCTGCAATGCCTCTGGTACAAAACAAGCTCACATTAGCCTAATTTGCCCTGTAAATATTTTATGTTTAATACATACAGTGTGCAAAATGCTAACCAGAGTTAAACTACATTAGCCTAATACAAAGATATAGGCCTGTTCATTTTTAATGTTTAAAGCCCCAGTGAACCTAAATCCATGTTTCCTTTCTAAGTAGGTTAATCTTGCTCTGGTGGGCACACAATACATATGTACAAAGTATGTGCTGTGAATAACTGATGTATTTTGCCTACATTCTCCTCTCAGTGTAAACTGCACAGTCCTAATCTTGAGTCAAGAGTACATAAGCAGTATCCTCACCAATCACAAGACTGGTGATGTGTCTCACCCAGACAGCTTTAATAAGACTGTGTTCTGTTGTGGTCTCTGCTCTCTGTCTGCGAGAATGCTAACGACAAATGAGCTAACCTAGCAAGCGTAACAGCTCACAAGAGCATTTGTTCATCTGTTTGTGCAGTCAGCCAGTCATAAAGTGAACAAGTGCCTTACCTTCTGTAAGACATCACCGTATAAAAGTCAGATAGTGTTTTTAGTGAGTTATCACTCAGCACCTGCATATGTAGAGCCTGTTTCACTCATTTCTCCACAGCTCCTAGCCTACTAAGGTTACTGACAACATGGATCATAATGAAATAACACAATAAAGTATTCATTATTAATGAAAATATTATTGAAAATGCGTCAATGTGTTCATGCAGAAAGTAAGAGATGAAAGAAATTATGTCTAATTATAGAACAAAGTAGCTTTGTGATTATTTGATCGTTTTTCCACAATCTAAACATGTAGTGTAGGCCTGTACATGTTTCATTGTTTTATTAGGGCACGCTGTTATGCTTGTTGGCTAAAAGAACAGTATATTGAGTTCAACAGGCCGGGAACCTTGAGTTTGTCTTACTTTACTTTACAAAATATTTGGAGGGTCTGGGCCCAAACAATACTTCTACATGTTGTTGTGGCGTGAAAAATAATTTGGGATATAATATATATACCTGAGTAGGTGGTTTCTGAGTCTGTATGACATACTGTTATCTTTAAAAATGGACAGTACTACATAGCATACACTCTTAAAAAAAGATTCTTTAAGGGTTCTTTAGTAAAGAAAATGGTTCTATATGGAACCATGAACACTCAGAGAGCCCTTTGCACGATTAAAGGGTTCTTTGCGTTATGAATGTGCTGTAGATTGAAAAAGGGCTCTGTATAGCACCCAAAAGAGTTATTCTTTTCTTACAAGCTTGACATCATAACAATAGATGAGCCCTTTTGGGTGCTATATAGAACCCTTTTCAAAAAGATTCTATGTAGAACTATTTACAGCACATTCTGAAAAACCCTTTCATGGTGCAAAGAACCCTTTAATCATGCAGAGGGTTCTTTGAGTGTCCATGGTTCTAAATTGAACCATTTTCTCTACTAAAGAACCCTTAAAGACCCATCTTTTTTAAAAGTGTAGCTAAAAACAGCAGCAGCTGCAATCCTGAGGCCTGAATTTTATCCATTTGCAGAAACAACTCTGTGTCATACAGTGTACATTTGCAGTGAGATTTCTGACTTGTTTTCACGAGACGGCACAGCAGAGGTCAGTCCATGTCCAGCACTGCAACAGTTGGAAAAGCCATTTGCTTCTCCTCTTGTCTCTGGAACAACCAAAACACTCAACAAAAACATCTGTGTGGGCACCACTCTTTCATCATCTCCGCTCAAGCACTTGACACGGGTCTGACAACTCCAAAACAAGCTCCTCCGCTGTGCCGGTGAAGAGGCTGTTCCTGATCATGGAAGCCGTGTTAAATTCAGTCCTCCTCAACCCACTGTGGGCCATCTTAGTGCTTTTGTGACATTCGAGTAGACAGTTGTGTTTTTTTTTCCACCCCTCATTAGGAGGTGGTTAACCACTTGTGCGTCTTTTCTTTGGTCACGGATTGTCCGTGCCTGTCCATCTCCAGCCCACATTAACCATGACTGCAGCCCTTAACTTCACGTCTCACAAAGCGCTCTCTGAGCCACAGTGTGTAATAGGAGAGATCAGTAAGGAATCCAAATCAGCAGAAACTCGCTGGGCTCTAAATGTGGGATTCTGCCAGAGCTCATTGTAAGCTGGGCCACAGTGACAACCTGTGGCTGTCTCATGATTCAGAGCCACTGCCACAAGTTCCATACAGCATCCAGCTCGTAGATATTACAGTTAGTCTAACTGTAGTGAAGTTCTGTATTTTATAAGAAGCAACTTTTCATCAAAATGCTACACATAAGGCATCCAGCTTATACACACCTATAACTAAAGCTGCCAAAAAGAATGTCTTAGAAGAACCACTTTTGTTCAAGGAAAATGAGATGTGTGAAGAACCTTAACATAATGTAAAGGTTCTATACAAAATAAAGATTGTTCCTAAAGCTGTACGTCTGAACCAAGAATGATTTAGAAACCTTTATTTTTACGAGTGTTGAGACCACAGTAAACCTATCTGTAGTCAAGTACAATGTACTTTATAAGAAGCAAAATGCCTGTGAGGTTTAAACAGTATTGTTCACTCCAGCTGTGCGCTGTGGTCCCATCAGGCTGTCAGCAGTTCGAAGCTGACTCTGCTGTAACACATTAACAGCAGGATGTCTTTGTCTTTAGTCTTCTCCACATCCTTTTTATTGCGTAAGCTGTGCAGTGAGGATGTCCCTGGGGCCTGCCTTATTGCAAACGGTTGACACCAAGATGTCTTTGTTCAACTGGGATTGTGGCACTCTGGGTGTTTGAATTGTCAAAAGAATTTTTTTTTTGCCAAGATCTCAGATCTTTTTTTATTGTTATTTCTTTACATGTGGTGTTTGATGCTTTAAAATGTTATGAGTTTTTGTGGCCAGATTTGTGTTATGAAGAGAAGTGACATCAGCAACTGAATTAAGAAAGGATTACTATCCAAGAATGCTGATGCTGTAGACTCAGCAGTGATGACTACTATGCTATGCAGAAAAAGGGATGCACCGATTCAACTTCCCGATGCTGAATCTGATATCTGAGCTTGCATTTGGTGATGCAGAGTACTCTATTAAGCATTGTTAAGGTATTTGTGTTTTGTAGTAGAAAAGTAACATGATAAACCTCATGAGTTAGACACTATTTTGTCTCTTACTGCAGTGCTCGGAGTTAATTTAATAAAACTTCATAGAAATAAAAGTTTTCACATATATGAGAGAATATGAATACTTATCTCTGCAAATCATCACAAATGCAAGCAAACGTTTTCTGTACAAGCTTGCCAGAAATATATTTTTTATGTCACGCTATGTCATAGTTCCAGATGTTCAATTACACATAACCCCAACCTTGTGCAGATACACTTCATGGCCAAAAGTATGTTGACATTCTTCCTTATTATTGAATTCATGTGTTTCAGCTACAAACTTTGTTAACAGGTGTATAAAATCAAGCACATATTACGTTTTAAACATATATCTTCAGTTTGAAAAGTCAAAGGCTTATTTGTAAAAATGAAGACAGAAATTGAAATGTATTTGCAAAATGTTAGCAATGTTAGCCTCATAGCTCCACCACAATGCTAAAAAACAACATTTGGTCAACAAGCATGTCTTGGCTGATGGACATCTGGAGTGGAAAATTGCATCAAATTGATTTTTTGCCAAATTATTCCTTTAACTTCATCAGAAGTCCTTGATTGGCTGGATCAGATGCATTAGTGTGAGGTAAAGGTGGAGCAGTGGGCATCATGTTAGATGCAGGTTGAAACTAAACTCTCCTAGAAAGTAGATCTTCAAGAAGAGCATTGTTGACCACTGCAGCTAGTTGTTACCTGACATTTGTCTAAGCATTGTGCAGTTTTTTTTATTGTTCTGTTTGCAATTTTATAACAACAGTGACTTTGAAACAGTATGAAATGAGGATGAGTCACGTCTGTCTGATATTCCCTCCATTTAATAAGACTCAGTTCCAATTCCACTCCTGTGTATCAGATCAGAGCATCACTAGACAGAAATTATATGCTCTCCTAATCGCGGTTGAATCCCAGTTTCCACTGCACTCATTGTGGGAAGTTGTGTATTTTGTAGATTGTTTAATGTGAAGGGGCCTTTTAGACATGCTGTGTGACAGTTGTGACCAACAAGCTGAAACACAAGACCGCAAGCCAAACCTCAGTCAAGCATCCTGTCAGAAATTACCCCACAACACATACACACACACACACACATACCCCCACAGGAAAGATTAAGTGTGGGTCCCCGACAGTTTGAGCCTGCATCGCTCTCTGATCGTCTTGCTTCGTACACTTCCTTTAAACGCTTTCTCAAGAGCTGTGCCAGATGCTGGGCCACACGGGGCTTGAAGAAGTGTTGGGGGGCTTTTAATGTGGCTGTGAATGTTTCCCCAGAGCAGAAGTTAGCGGTAGCGTAATTACACAGCCAGCACAGAGCCCGAATTCTGCAGCCAGGGAGTAACCAGCTCTCTGCTCGAGTGTGTGTGTGTTTGTGTGAGTGTGACTGTTGATCGTTAGTATTGGAAAATGCCTCAGCCACAAAAAGGGGCTGCGGTCTCTCCCATCCATTAAAAACATGAAAGAACAAACCCCCTCTTCTCCGGAGAGAGGAATCCGCCAGACATAAACAGCCTGTAAAATGGAAAACTACATCTGCGTTCATTTGTTTCTGAGAGAGATGGCCACATTTGGTAACCCTTACTGAAAATTCCTTCCAATCGCTGGGGTCAGGCATCCGCGCAGTCAGACAGGCCTCTGCTCATCTGTTTCCAGTGGAGCTTCAGTGGCAGTTTAAAGGGATGAAGGATGTGTCAGTGAGAGAGTGATGAGATGTGGATGCTCAGAGGGCTCTTCACGCTTCATACATGGTTAGCTCTCACGAGGATAGCAACACTTCCTCCTCCGCTTAAAGGAATACTCCAGTGTTTTTTCAGTCTAATGTCGATCTGCTGCATCTGTAACATATAAATAGTGTGGTAGATAGATCATATGGCCCCCAGTGCATAGAAATGTAACACCTCTTATGAAAATGACTTTAAATAAATAAAATAAGTGTAATTTGCTCATTTACTTGTTATTGGTGAGTCTCAAGTGGATGACCTCAAGGCATGCCACTCCACCCACTAGCATCTAAAGTTAACCCAAATGTTTACATTAGACTACCTATTTAAGATTTTAGAGTTATAAATAATGAATATATCATGTTGCAGTTTGCGAAGGATCCAAACTGAGGAGAAAATGGTCACGTAGGGGTGAAATACGACTGTTTTTGCTCTTTAAAACTACACAAATGTTGACATAAGTGGAGTATGAAATGGATCCTTAAAGAAAATAGATGTTTCTGTGAGTCGCAGGTGTACAGTTGTGTCAGTCTCTATGTGCAGGTCCCAATAACAGGACACCCCTGCACCATGGGCCCCTGTGCAGTTGCCCACCTCTTCAGTAGTTACACCAAAATTGAAGGAATATGGATTATCTCCTGCAATCACATATGAATATTTTCCTTAACAATCTATTTTTTACACCTACGAATAATAGTTATTTAGCCGTTGTGTCTCTGTGTGGCTTGTGGTATGTTCTTGAGAAGGGCACTGTGACATGAGATTAGGACTTCTTTATGTCGATCTCAAATCTATCCTACCAGACATGCAGCAGCTTGTGGTTCAGTGCTAGAACTGGGTTTTTGCATCGTATAACTGAGTGAAAGGTGACCAAAAGGGAACCTTCAAGGCCTTGGGCCTGACTGAGAGCGACACCTGCTGATGTCATTAAGATGCACACAAATGATTTTCAAGCCTCAATTATAATATAGTTTTGAATGATGAATCAGCTATTTTAGCAGACATACTGGAACCACTCAGGGTCATCAAAGCTAAACAACAAGATGTTAATTTGACTGTCCACTGTCGCTGTCCAAATGGCTTATGTAGATTTAAGTCATCCAATGTTCTTTTGCTCATATATATGCGAAAAGCACAGCTGTTTGCTCAAATGCAGGTGAATATTTGCCATTGGCTTCCATTGAAAATATATTTTGTGTCAACAGGTTTTCTGTTGTTTTCTAAGCGCAGGAGTATTTGGTAACTGACCA